ATACTGACTTCAAACCTTTTCAACAGATCTTTGAATATCAGTGGTAAATTGTTCATGTGTCCAAGATTTACCATTTTTCCTAGAAAATGTGAATTTCTATGATTTTATGTGATTAACAATAACACATTCATTATGTTCTCTAAATCTGCTACAATCTTTTAATTGTTTAACGAATGGCTAGTACAGTTTTATAATAAGTATCTTCTATGGTATTATTTTATACTGTATCTATTAATTATTTATTTAAAAAATGTTCCATGCATCCGCCTTTTACCTTCACTATCACACAGACACAAGGGCGTAACTGCAATGGCACCATTCAGCGATTCTTGTGGTACTTCTTTCCACTTCTCCTAACCTCTTTTAGTTGATCAATAGTGTGTGGGGATTACCATTAACTGCAATAAATTGCTCCAGGTGCCTCCATGTGTGATAGTCACAGGGGTTGGCATTTGGTGTATTGGGCAGCCATTTATAAGGACTAATAAATCTAGAGGTATCATCCTCCAGGTATTCCAAAGTGACCCTTGCCCGATGGCTGGGAGCGATAGTGAAGGTGAAAGGTGGATGTAAGAACATGTGATTTATAAATAATTAATAGATACAGTATAACATAATACCATTGTGAGTAGATACCGATATAAAGCTGTCCTAGTATATTGAATAAACAGTTATCAGAGATTGTAGCAGATTTAGTGAACATAATGGATGTGTTATTGTTGATCACATCAAATCATCCTCCAAGTCACATTTTCTTGGAAAAACAGTAAATCTCGGACACATGAACAATTAACCATCGATATTCAAAGATCTGTCAAAAAAATTAGAAGTCAGTATTATCTTAGATATTTGAATCGTAAAATATGCCTATCCTAAACTTTCTGTAAATCGATTTTTATGTCAATACCTTCATGTTATGATACTTTTTTAGCCTTTTAAAAAAGTTGCACAATTTTTTGGCCCACCCTGTATATATCATAGTATCAGAGGAACATTCAACCAAAATTGTCTTATTTGGTATACCTTTTTGTCTCACATTATACCATCTTGAAATTCCCTAAATCATATCTTACTTTAGGTACCTTAAATTCTAGCTTTTAATTCATGTTACTGTATGGCTGATGGATTAGTAATGTAGAAAAAGATCTTATATATAAACATAATATAAATACATGTTGCTATATTTAAATACATTTTGAAAAATGATAAAAACAGGAAAGGCTACACTACATGTATACCATTGTTATCTCACATTCTGAAAATGTGAATCTTTTACACATTTTCCATAATTCATTAACGAAAAACTGAAATCCTGTTCCAAGTTGCTAAGATGTAAAAAGGTCCACCCCACTAGGATCAAACTCAAACCCCTTGTTTCGGAAAATGTGCTCGACCTCTGAGCTTTTCTTCATTAGCATTGCATATATAGTATTGTAGCCATGTGCATTCCTTTCACATATTCCATATTTCTTCTTGTAGACCTTATCCAGACGGAGGTGTGGATTTTACAACTCTGTGGTGCAGAATAGTCAACGTCAGTGTTAAATCTTGGAATGTAGAGTTTCGTGATTTCCCACAGTCTGTTCTTGATGTCCAGGATTTACATGTTTGGGGTCGGCTACTTGGGGCGGAGCAAGAGGGAGCAAAACAAGGTAAAGATGTTTTTCTTATTTTGTATATTTGGTTTCCTAATGAAGAAAGTTCATCAGCGTCCTGTATGTCCATCCACCAGTCTGTTCATCAGTCTGTCTGTTAGTTTCACATTCATGAATATTTTTTTTCATTAGGATTTGCTGTAACTCTGTGGAATTGGAGGTGCATATATAGTCACAGCATGTCTTTGGGGTTCCTTCTTCAAAATGGGCATTAAATGAAGGATAATACCTCATTTACTCTACAGTATATGACATTTATTTCTTCATTCTTAAATTTTAAGTATTTATTGTACTTATTCCCAACCAAATGGATTTAATTTTTGATATGTAGCATTCTTAAATTTCAACTTGAATACAGTGAAAAAAAATTAAATGGTAACAGGAAAACTAGGAAGGTAAGTGTTCAAATGATTATCAAACAATATTATCATTATGATAAAGCAAATGTCTTCCATTTTTCATATTTTCTTCCAATATTTGGATTCAATTTTTTCCTCAATTTTTAATTAATGAACAGGGTCATTATATAAACCAAGAATGAAACAATTATGACAGATATTTTTTTAAGTCCACATTTTACAGTTTTAACAGTATCACGATTGGCTTCATACATATATACTTATTTAATGCTAGTAACATCTTTGTATTTGTATTTAGCTATTGATTCGTTACAGGAATGTAAACACCTTGACTTCGAGTTGTTTATATCAGTGTATGACTTTCCATTGAATTGCTTTGACGTCTAGATTCTTTACCTAAAATTGATAATAAAAGGGTGCTCTGTTTGAAAAGACATTAACATTACTGTTATATACATTTTAGGCTATATTTCATATTGTATGTTGTCTTTATCCCTTACAATTGTTGTTATTTTGTGTGAGTATACAAAATGAACTAAAATGTAAAGATATGTAAACCCGTTAAGTTAAATACCTCAGTAAATGAACACCTACAAAAGTGGAACACCTTTCAAATTTTGTTTACCTATTTTATAATGTAAAGGGAATCTCTGTGGAACCAGAGCTGTATTTTGAAGTGCAAAAAGTGTTTGTACTTATACACGTTTTGCTGTGCTAGTTTGAAAATGTAGTGTATCTGCCATTGGCATGTCATCACAACTTTAATAGGCCTAATACAGGGTGTCCAAAAAAAACAGGACCGTAAGAAAGTTGAATAACTCGGTTACTTTTGCATATTTTGCCTTGAAATTTAAGAATTATTTAGTTCATTCAATGTGAATTTTGTTCTGAAAGTTTGATGGTAATCTGTTTATTGTGTCGAAAACTACAGTCATTTACAAAACATGCTCAAAGTGGGCACTTCTCCTCCCTATGCATAAACGAATCCTGCGAACAAAGTTGTTAATTACCCTTACCTATACACATTAATGTGGATGGTAAATATTGGGGTAGTTATTGCCCTCTTAAGATTGTTAGGGGCCTGTCAGTATACACATTGGCTTTGAGAAATCCTCAAAGATAAAAATTTGGGGGATTTAGATCAGGCGAATGAGCTGCCCATATGGTTTGCGTTCTGCAACTGATGAGGTGACCACCAAAGCATTGCCTAAACCATTTCAGCATATCATTTGCAGTGTTGGGGTGGTGTTGGCTTATTAAAACCACTGCTTAATTATCTCCTTATATGTCCCTTCTGGTGCTTAGTGACCTCCAAAACTTGGTGAGAACTTACTGGTCCTTGTTCATGGTGATAGCAAGTCCCCAGTCACCTTCGAACCAAAAGGGACTGATGATTCCATGTTTCCTCATTGCCACCCAGGGAGTGCATTGTTCAGAATGCAATGGATGCTGTAACACTTCATCAGGAGGATGTAAGCCCCAGTAGCAATTGTTCTTGGAACAAACTTGTCAATTCAGAAAGACATGTGTGTAGGAGGATCATCAACAGCTTTGTTCGCCAGATTGAATTGTGCATAGAGATGAGATTTGCACATTTGGGGCATGTTTTGTAAGGAGCTGTAGTTTTTGACTCAATTGGTAGATTATTATCAAACTTTCACAACAAAATTCACATTGAATGAACTAAATAATTCTGAAATTTCAAGGCAGAATATGCAAAATTGACCGAGCTATTCAACTTTCTTACAGGTCCTGTTTTTTTGGACACCCTGTATATTCCATCCTTTGAAAATTCAATCTTGTCATATTTTAATTCAAAATTTGGAACCCTCAAGAAATGCAGGGTAAAAACAGATATGAAAACTTTCAGTTTTATTGAAATGGAAAAAAGACTCTTCATTCATTTAACTAAAGCTTTATAATGATTGATAATTTGATGAAACTCCTTTACAGCCAAATATATATAGGATTGCTTTGTGCATGTGATAGATGATTTGATGAAACTCCTTTACAGCCAAATATATATAGGATTGCTATGTGCATGTAATGGATGATTTGATGAAACTCCTTTACAGCCAAATATATATATAGGATTGCTATGTGCATGTGATAGATGATTTGATGAAACTCCTTTACAGCCAAATATATATAGGATTGTTATGTGCATGTGATAGATGATTTGATGATATGAAACACTGGAAAGCGCTTTGCCTTATCACTGTATAGTCACTGTGTATTTGTATTTTTGAAATAAACCTATTGATTAAAATAAAATGTTATGGGATTAATTCAGATCTGCATCGCTATTTTTGCCATGATTACTAGTGTATTACATTTCACTAATAATTGAACTTTTTATCACTGTATTAGAAAAAAGAGGATTATTGTTATCCATTGTGTACTGTGTAGATTGTAGAACTATTTTGATCTAGTAAATAGTATTGAAATATGTATTACCTAGATATATCAACGCTATCACCTTTCTATCATATATAGGGTGTCCAATAAATAAGATGAAAGATATTGTAACTTTCCTAATATTGCACCAATCTTTATGACATTTTGGCAGGGTTTAGAGCAAACCTTGTCACATTTATTCTGCAAATTTTCTCCTCATTATGCTCTTGATATGCCGTCAGATGTGTTTAAAGGAGTGTTAAGGCTATAAAAAATCACCTGTCATAACAGGACTGGTGTGTAAATTGTAGGGAAACAACTCTTACCTAAAATAACAGTTGATTTATAAATAAAATCCAATACTTTAAAATGTGGCCCCCTTGAAAAAAGTTCAATGTATTATGGATGATTTTGTCATTTTATTAATCAAAATTGCAAGTTCCCATTAATTTTTTTTATCAATCACCTTGACATTATCATGTTCAGATTTCTCAAGATATTTTAAACTTTGACTGGCAGAAATTCCAGAATTTATATAAAATTGCTGGAGAAAATTATCCAGATATTTTTTCTCCAGCACAATACAAATTTGTTCTCTCTGAACACAATTGTTCAATTTCCCATAAGGTCTTAGTATATATATCATCAGCTGTCGCTTTGATATCTCTTGAAAAATGCACTTTCTGTGTATGTTTTCTCCTGAGATGTAGACCATCAGAATTTCTCAAAACACATTGTAATAATCTTTCTGTGATATCAGTATTCAAGAAATGTGATATCCGTAGCAGTTCTGGTTTTAAGTCAAGCACTAATGACTCATAACTGAGTATCAAAATTGGAATGTTTTGTACTGTTACCCATCGTAATGTCTTTAATGACCAGTCTTCTAGTTTTAAAACATTGCGCTTATCATCTGGAAAAAGAAAATAAAGGTTATAATGGTCTTTCTGGACAGTAAAACCTGTCTAAGTGGAACATCTTTGGTACCTCTAAAAAGTGTTCCTCTTGGGAGGTGTTCCACTTATAGGGATTCATTTAACATTAAATCATTTAGTCTTTGGACTCTGAAAAGTGTTCCACTAACAGAGGTGATCCACTTCTAACAGGTTTTATTGCGCTTCGAGTGATCTGCATTAGATTTTAATACAGTTTGGAATATGTGTTCATCTTGCCAATTCCATTGTAGAGCCAATATACTGTTGTCTCTGGTTGGTCTTGGTGATGTCACATTTGGTTACCATACTAATCATGATGTCAATGATCAAATACTAGTTTTACCTTTAACCTAAAAGTACTAAGTAATGTAAGGTGAGCATCATTACCAAGTTTCAAGATATTAAAATGGCAACATAACCCTGTTGTACCTTTCTTAATTGAAAATGAATTTGAATTAAGACACAAAAGGATACTCACTATGGATTATAGTTTTTAACTTGTTCAACATTGTTGCATTTACTTCCCCTGTGTGAGATTTCATCAACATTCTCTTCTCATTGGCTAAGTGAGCATCCAATGGATGTCGAATGATTACAATCGCACGCGTTAGGTTCACTTTATCACTGAATGTACTGTATTTATGGTGGGTCTTTATCGCAATTACAGAGCCATTGCGGTAGCTCTCTCCCGGGAAGCTTGTTGTTCTCAACTTAAGGTCATGGTACATTGATCCTGTATATATTCCTGGAAGGTTTAGAAGACAATACCTAATTATGTTTTCAACTTAAGGTCATGGTACATTGATCCTGTATATATTCCTGGAAGATTTAGAAGACAATACCTAATTATGTTTTCAACTTAAGGTCATGGTACATTGATCCTGTATATATTCCTGGAAGGTTTAGAAGACAATACCTAATTATGTTTTCAACTTAAGGTCATGGTACTTGATCCTGTATATATTCCTGGAAGAGTTAGAAGACAATACCTAATTATGTTTTCAACTTAAGGTCATGGTACTTGATCCTGTATATATTCCTGGAAGGTTTAGAAGACAATACCTAATTATGTTTTCAACTTAAGGTCATGGTACTTGATCCTGTATATATTCCTGGAAGGTTTAGAAGACAATACCTAATTATGTTTTCAACTTAAGGTCATGGTACTTGATCCTGTATATATTCCTGGAAGGTTTAGAAGACAATACCTAATTATGTTTTCAACTTAAGGTCATGGTACATTGATCCTGTATATATTCCTGGAAGAGTTAGAAGACAATACCTAATTATGTTTTCAACTTAAGGTCATGGTACTTGATCCTGTTTATATTCCTGGAAGGTTTAGAAGACAATACCTAATTATGTTTTCAACTTAAGGTCATGGTACTTGATCCTGTATATATTCCTGGAAGAGTTAGAAGACAATACCTAATTATGTTTTCAACTTAAGGTCATGGTACATTGATCCTGTATATATTCCTGGAAGGTTTAGAAGACAATACCTAATTATGTTTTCAACTTAAGGTCATGGTACTTGATCCTGTATATATTCCTGGAAGGTTTAGAAGACAATACCTAATTATGTTTTCAACTTAAGGTCATGGTACTTGATCCTGTATTTATTCCTGGAAGGTTTAGAAGACAATACCTAATTATGTTTTCAACTTAAGGTCGTGGTACTTGATCCTGTATATATTCCTGGAAGGTTTAGAAGACAATACCTAATTATGTTTTCAACTTAAGGTCATGGTACTTGATCCTGTATATATTCCTGGAAGAGTTAGAAGACAATACCTAATTATGTTTTCAACTTAAGGTCATGGTACTTGATCCTGTATATATTCCTGGAAGAGTTAGAAGACAATACCTAATTATGTTTTCAACTTAAGGTCATGGTACATTGATCCTGTATATATTCCTGGAAGGTTTAGAAGACAATACCTAATTATGTTTTCAACTTAAGGTCATGGTACTTGATCCTGTTTATATTCCTGGAAGGTTTAGAAGACAATACCTAATTATGTTTTCAACTTAAGGTCATGGTACTTGATCCTGTATATATTCCTGGAAGGTTTAGAAGACAATACCTAATTATGTTTTCAACTTAAGGTCATGGTACTTGATCCTGTATATATTCCTGGAAGGTTTAGAAGACAATACCTAATTATGTTTTCAACTTAAGGTCATGGTACTTGATCCTGTATATATTCCTGGAAGAGTTAGAAGACAATACCTAATTATGTTTTCAACTTAAGGTCATGGTACATTGATCCTGTATATATTCCTGGAAGGTTTAGAAGACAATACCTAATTATGTTTTCAACTTAAGGTCATGGTACTTGATCCTGTATATATTCCTGGAAGGTTTAGAAGACAATGACTAATTATGTTTTCAACTTAAGGTCATGGTACTTGATCCTGTATATATTCCTGGAAGAGTTAGAAGACAATACCTAATTATGTTTTCAACTTAAGGTCATGGTACTTGATCCTGTATATATTCCTGGAAGGTTTAGAAGACAATACCTAATTATGTTTTCAACTTAAGGTCATGGTACATTGATCCTGTATACAAGGGGCGATCCATATATTCTGATAAAAATGCTCTCATTTTGCTATTTTTTCACATATCCATCTCATATTTTCAGAAAATGTAGATTATGTAATTACACATACAATGCCCAAATATTATAGCTACATCTTAAATTAATTAAGAGATAGGGTTACCATGGTAACCTGTATTAAGGGTAGGCAGGTCAATTAAATTATAACGTATAAAATATCATAATAACTTGTTATTTTAATTATTTTAAAGCATGTGGAAATCATATTCATTTTTTCTTAAAAAAGTTTTGTATTGTTTCTCGTTGTTTGTTGCTAAACAAATGATTATTTGTGATCACATCACAACAACTCACAATAGCAATGTATGACATGATGGGCAAATTGGAATTACATGTCATGAGACACACTAAATTTCAAAATGACCGATCAGATGAGGTTAATGCGGCTGCAGCAGAGTGTGACATTAACAGATACATTAGGGGTACCATTAGATTTTATGTACTATCAAGAATAAGTAAGAGGACACTGGCAGAGGCATACATGGACTCATATAGTGTATGGACAAGGTGTTATGTCTGCTCTAAGGATCTCTCATAGTATTGTAAATTTGAGGAAGGCTACTCACTGTTGAATATCATTCCCAATCTGTTTGCAAGAAGAGCTTGCGGACAGAGAATAACACTACGATAATTTGAGATGCAATTTATGAAAAAAAAACTATTCCACTGTGGAAATAGCAAACAAAGGTAACAGGGGTATGGAGCAGTTCAAGGAATAGTTGGCATTGACCTGGATATGCGTTTGATCTGCTTGAAATAGGTACCGAGGAATGATTAAATTAACAAATTTATCTATTTTATTCGTTATAATTTAACTGACCTGCCTACCCTAAATACAGGTTACCATGGCAACCTTATCTCAAAAATTATTTAAGATATAGCTATAATATTTTAGCATTGTATGTGTAATTACATAATCTTCAAGTTCTGAAAAAATGAGATGGATATGTGAAAAAATCACAAAATGAGAGCATTTTTATCAGAATATATGGATCGCCCCTTGTATATTCCTGGAAGGTTTAGAAGACAATACCTAATTATGTTTTCAACTTAAGGTCATGGTACATTGATCCTGTATATATTCCTGGAAGGTTTAGAAGACAATACCTAATTATGTTTTCAACTTAAGGTCATGGTACTTGATCCTGTATATATTCCTGGAAGGTTTAGAAGACAATACCTAATTATGTTTTCAACTTAAGGTCATGGTACATTGATCCTGTATATATTCCTGGAAGGTTTAGAAGACAATACCTAATTATGTTTTCAACTTAAGGTCATGGTACTTGATCCTGTATATATTCCTGGAAGGTTTAGAAGACAATACCTAATTATGTTTTCAACTTAAGGTCATGGTACTTGATCCTGTATATATTCCTGGAAGGTTTAGAAGACAATACCTAATTATGTTTTCAACTTAAGGTCATGGTACTTGATCCTGTATATATTCCTGGAAGGTTTAGAAGACAATACCTAATTATGTTTTCAACTTAAGGTCATGGTACTTGATCCTGTATATATTCCTGGAAGAGTTAGAAGACAATACCTAATTATGTTTTCAACTTAAGGTCATGGTACTTGATCCTGTATATATTCCTGGAAGAGTTAGAAGACAATACTTAATAATGCCGCCTCCAAGAAGTTTAACATATTGTTATATCAACCATTTGTATTGCTCATCTGGCATCTGTAGCTATTGATACACTAATTAAGACGTAATGAAACACCCATATTGGCTTAAATAAAAAGATTGAATGCCAAAACAGGTGATTGAAAGTGTTACAACACCTCCTAAATACTTTATTGGCCTAAATTTGGATTTTGCAGAAAAGTAAAAATTATGTGATAAATTACCCTGTAGTATTTTATTTTTGGTGCATGGTTACTATGACTACCTGTTAGCTGTTGTAATAGATGGCGCACCCAAGTGTTTCCAGATCCAGGCCAACTATAAAGTGCCGTCAAGGGTAATGGAGTATCAGAAAATTTAATTGGTTGGCATGAATCGGATGTTTCCATTTGATAGTCTCTCTTTTCCAACAGTATATTCTTTTTTGTATTGTGTTGCGATGGATCTACAAAATACAGTAAAAATAAAAGTGCATTCTTCTAACATTTTGAATATTGAATATAAAATTTCCACCAAGACATATTGTCATGGCCTTTGTTTTTGTGATTGGTTAGTCAGCTGAAGGTAGTCTTTTGTTAGTATTTAGTGTCTGTAACAATTGCACACTTATATAGTCATTTGCAATATATGCCTATTACTTACCAGATAGTGATATTTATCATATATCATAAGTCTTATTAGTTTTGTGTCATGTTTTGATACAATTGTTAATGAAAGAAATGTATAATGATATATACTAACATATTGATAAATAAGATATAGAAATAATGGATAATGCCGTTTGTAAAAATAGATCTCTCAAATCTAAACTTAATTTGACCCCTCATAACACCCTTAGAATTTTATTTCCTGTAAATTTGTGCTTACTACCTATTCAAAAAGTATCAAGACATCAAACACCTACCTGCTCTAAAGTTCCATATTGTGACAGACAAACAAACTGAGCATATCAAGTAATGCAAGTATTTTATCCGACAGAAATAACTTGATAACAAAGCCATCCTCAGCAAATTTAAAAAAATCTTTTTTATTAAATTGAATTGATTCTCTAAATGTTGCATGAGTTCAAAGCATTAGTTATCTCTTAATCACCTGTTCAAACATTTAACAAGATTTCAATAAATTATTGCTATTTTTTATTTACAATAATATTTGATTGAATTGACAGAGATATTCTTATTTGCACGTAAATATGTAAGCACAGGTGCCAAAGAGAATTAGAAGAGTACCTACTTTTTGCCTTTACCTTTCTGCTGATTTTGGTTGTGTTCATTTTTCATTTTAGATACACAGTGATCTGGTAACAGGATATACAAAAAGTTTTATTGTATTGAACAACACTATCAATGAAGCAATAATCTCATAGTGATCACATTTTAAAGTAGAAAATGCAATTTAAAAGAATAGAATCACCAAGGAATAAAGTAAACAAACATTTTGTAGAGAAATGTTAGGATATAAGTCAGTTCAAATAGATTTCGGAGAAAATTGTTGTATGGGTGTTTCTGTTTACACACGGGTAAAAACAATATTATTGATAAAGTACTTTTGGTCATGAAGCTAACATAATCCAAAATCAAATATATCTAGATTAGATAGATTAGAAAAATGAGGAGGCAAAAAAGTAGATAGAAAATTACAAATGTAACTGTGTAGAATAAATTTAATAGCACATGTGAGCCCCACGATACATATCCAGCGTTATATCTGTATCTGTAACATTTGTTGCATGTGTAACAATTGTTACGGATGTGGTTAGATCTTAATGGTAACATTTTGATGTGGAATGCCTTTTGTTTTGTAAAATGTTTCCTCGAATTATCACAAAAAGCTAAACATTCATCAGCTTTATAAATAAGATAAAAGTGTTTGGAAATTTTAATAAAATGAATTACAAAACAAATGAATTTCTGGCACACACAATTGCAGATTTTATAGAATCATCAAACAGAGGTTGATCAGACTTTGTAAATCATTATTTTCATGTCCTACTGTCACCTTCCCCATCATCATTTCATTGTTCATACTCATTCATTTAATCACATTTATTATTTTGTTTTTACACTTTATTTTCCAATCAAGTTATTTGCCTGTATGTATTTTATCTATATGCGAATATGTCTGTCATGCCTTAGGACGATTGACATTATTACACTTTGTTAATTGTAATATATTAATTCATGCAATAAATAGTGGGAAAAAGGTGTTACTTTTGGTCAAGTTCTATCATGACTTCAAATGAAGTTAGCAGAGTACCATATGTTGTTTAGTATTTTTTAGTATTGTGTACAATATCATTTCTTATTTTCAGCCAAGAGAAGCTGTAGAGTTGAGGTTCCCAGCCCTTGGTCAGATGTCAATGTGGAGCGTAGCATGCCTGCCCTCAAGTTCTATCATGACTTCAGTTGTGGTGAGTACTGTACATATCATTAGCCAAGTAATTACTATTGACTCATATTTCCCTTCTCAAATTAAAATTGGCCCTTTCAATCTAGATCCTGAATCAGAATGTATAGTGTAATCTATTTAGTGTTAATTTTACACTGAAATAATAAGTCCCAAGATGGCATGTTTTTGTTACATTAATAAATATAATTGAATATTGTAAAATTTGAGTATCATATTTAAATTAATCATACACCTTATTTGCATTGAAATCTCCTATTTTTGGCTTTTAGTTTAGTTTTATATTTCAAAAATTTTAGATGTAACTAGCTGGGCAATGTCATATGGCGTTTGCTGGGAACCTACAAATGCCTATTTCAACCTCACAACTGACTTGATCAACAAACGTTCCATTGATCCCAGTTTACCTATGCCTTGGTGGGATAAGATACGGCTACTTCTTCATGGCCGCCTTACAATGTCCGTTCAGCAGATGAATATTTTGTACCATGCATCGTTCGATCCGAACAATACTACAGATATGATGGATTGGACTTGGACTAATCTGATCCTTGATTGGACAAATGGTATGCTCCCTTTTTTCCAAACAATTTTTGATTTTTTTCAAATGCTATGCTTCCTTATTTTGAAAAGTTAAAAATTGTCATTGTGGTTATATAAGTTTGTATCTCGTGGGGTCATACACGTCCCTTACATAATAAATAAAAGAACCTTATTGTAATATATTTAACATGTTAAACTTTACAGCAAAGTGGGTGTTAAAAGGAGACCTAGACATCTATGCAAGGACTGCCTCTATGAAGTATGATGACTGTAGAGTGTTACATCTTCCAAAGCTCACATTCTGGTATGTAAATGGCTTAGCAGAAGTCACATTATTTCTTCATTTTCTCAGATTTAATTGATTGTCCATGACCTTATCTTCAAATCGCTTTAATGTGTATTATTTTTGAATTTCTTGATGCTGGTCTATGATTTGAATCATTTAAATTTATGTTTTCAGTATAAATCTGAAATGGAATTGTTTTGGAGACAGCAATGATCATCATTCTGTGATGCCATGTGCCCCTGATAAAATCCCAGAATTTTCACTGGAGGTATGTTCTTCCCATAATGCAATTTGGTAATTTTCTGATAATTTCTATAATATGATATTCAGTTCTATGATTTACAATAATTTAAGATGATTATGATTTATCTTTTAAATTTGGTTGTCTGCAAACTGTTGCATTAAGTTGCATTATGGAATATTTTCAGAAACACGATTCATTCCGGGCCTTTAGATCTCAGAGTCTCAGCCTGAGTATGAGTTTCGAAACAAAGGGAAATACAGAGCCAGGAGAAAATATTGATGTGCCAAAAGTGTTATACTATGCGAGTACCCTGCGATGGCTTGATAAGATAAAGGTACAGTAAGTGCCTATGGTAAAATTTCAGTGGGCAAGTTTCTGGTAAGGTAAAGTCCATGGGGGTAAACCCTGGGTTTAAAGTATCATTGTGTAGGCATCTTGGGGCAGGAAATTGCCATGTTTGTTTATCAAAACTGACATATGATTATCATCCTAGTTAGCACCGCTATTTGATTATCATCCTTTGTTTTTCAATTAACAATTTTCCTTTGAGATATGGAAAAGTGGCATCTTCCGTATGTCCATCTGCTTATATATTTTTCTGAGTGAGTCAACCTCATGAAGCAGAAAGGCAATGTAAACATGTAGTTAGTGTGTAATGATGATGTAAATGTTTTACTGGCTTCTGAAATAAGAAAGATTTATAGTCTTCCCATAAAGATTTGACTCCTCAGGCCTTTTGTTGAATCTATCACATATTTTATCATTCTGTAAGTACACATTAAAACTTTGGTTACAAGGTAGAGATAGTATAATGCACATCAAGACACTGAAAAGTGAAGTGTTTATGACAATTAGATTAACTATACAGAATCAATATGCAGAAAAGACAAGCTATGGGAAATAAGTTAAAATCCCAAACCACACAAAATGTTGACATCACAAACAAAAATTACAATTTTTGAAAACAGACTTTTGTGAGTCCCATTCACAAACAAGCAATGAAAAAGTTTGTGTGCATTAAAAATGCAGTAATTTTTGCATTCACTTTAACAACATTACAAACCATCTGGTTCCAAAGTATGATATGGAAATCACCAAGGAACATAAAATCAGTGATGGAGCAACAATCGTCAAAGAAAATACTGGATATACCAGGTAAAACCTAAATAATTTAATTACTCAACTAAAGAAATAGTATTTTTTAAATAAAAATGTTAATGAAAGCAGTACAGTTCAATTTGATACAAACAAAAATTTGGGGAGTCTAAATGTAATTATAGTGTTGTTGTTTTCTTTTCAACATCAGCTTTTTTAATTCAGGTGTTGAAATAATTAGCCAGAGTGGTCCTGATGTTATCTCTAAAAGTACAGTAAATGTGACTGACAGTGCAGTTAAAGACACAAGAAGTACAGATGAGACCAAGGAGGGTACAACTAATACTGCAGAAAGTGTCCATGAGAACTTCAGAAGAACAGATGCAGCTAATAATGCAGAAAGTATACATGAAAATATCAAAAGTATGGATGGGACTTCAGAAAGTACAGCTAATACCAAAGAAAGTGTCAAGGATGACATCAAAAGTACAGGTGAGACTTCCAAAAATGCAACTTATACAAGAGAAATTGTCCATCAGAACATCAAAAGTACAAATGAGACTTCAGAAAATCCAACTTATACCACAGAAAGTGTCCATCAGAACATCAAAAGTACAAATGAGACTTCAGGAAGTAGAACTAATATTGTGGAAGGCATCCATGAAAACATCAAAAGTACAGATGAGCCCAATAAAAGTACAAATAATATTACTGAAACTGCAGATAAGCTCATAGAAATGTCAGCTTTGACCAACACCAGTACAAATAACATCACTGAAAATACAGATATTGACACTGAAAATACCAATTTTGAATTACTTTCATCAGGGGAAACATGGCAATATAACCCTGGAGTAATACTAGACCCAAAACCCAGAAATAGACTCATAAAATCAATACTTGACTCCCTTGATGAACTTTACAAAAAGAGGGCCAACAAAAGTAGAGAACAGTTAGGTCTGAATGGAGCTATGATGTTTGGACCAGATTTTTACACTCAACCAATGGATTTATTCAAAAATTCAGACTGGTGGGTGAAGTCTAAAAGGCTTCCAGGCTTATTGGTGATTGGTGTGCAAAAATGCGGCACAGGGGCGCTAAAGAATTTTCTCAATGCACATCCTAATATGGCATCAAGTCCTGGAGAACATCATTTCTTTAATACATTTTACAGAGAATCTCATGTTGATGAAAAAATCAAACTTAAAGATCAAATTCTTGATGTTTATCTTCCTAGTATGCCAAAGACAGCTGAAAATGTGATGGCTTTTGATAAAACACCAGAATACTTTGACATGTCTGATCCATTGCACATCTATCGTATGAACCCACGCATAAAATTGATCATTGTGATATGTGATCCAGTTAGACGTAGCCAGTCATCATACGCTCACCACTACTCAGCTGAACGCTACACTGAATCTTATTTAAAATATGCAATATCTAAAAATGGCTCAGTCAACACAGAAGAATCATTCATATTTAGAGGCAGATACGACAAAGCCTTAGAAAGATACTTGGCAATTTTTCCCAGGGAACAGATACTAATTCTTGACAAGGCATATTTCAAGACCCATCCTCTTCTGGTCATGAATCAAGTGGAGTCATTCTTGAACATTCCAAAATTCTTTACGAGATACATGTTTTACTATGATGGAAAGTATGGGTATTTTTGTTTGGCATACACCCCATGGGGGTTTCGTGGTGGATGCCAAGGAAAAGGAAAATATAACACTCATGCTGTATTGGCTGAAGATGTGGTGAAAAAGCTCCAACTGTATTATAAACCATTCAATGATAGGTTTATGGATTTAGCTGGCTCTGAGTATCAATCTCTTATATATCAAGATATAAATGGGACTGAATTTGAAAAGCATACTCTTTGGAATTCTAAATATAGTAACACCTATGATAATACTAAAACTGTGGCTTTTTAACAGAATCTTTGTAAGGTTAAAGCTGGACTACGCTCCGAAACGCAATCTTGGGTTGTTTCGGGGGTGAACTTTATCATTTTGAGCTTAATGAAAGATTATAGAATGATGAACAAATGGGGAAAATCTTGTGTAGAAATACTTACGATAAATGTGTCATTTCAAAGATTTTTCATTGAATTTGCTTCGATCGGTGCCGGCGATATGATTTTGGAAAGGTTTCTAAATGAAGAACGTGACGTCACTTCCGAATCATAGCATTCAAAATAAGTAGCGTTTAATTACTTCCTCCTTTCATAATAATACGGTGGTGTAGCGGGTAGAATCCTCGCTGAGCACGCGGGAGGCCCGGGTTCGAATCCCGCATTAGCCTTTTTATTTTTTTAACTAAATGATTGTTCTTTGATATTACGCAGAAAAAAACAATTTTTATTTACATAAACTTTATATTAGAGCTTGAAAATGTAAAAACAATATATGTCAACATATTGCGTTTTGGAGCGATGTGCAGGTTTAAGAATTTCTAAACCAATTATTGTAACCATGATGTCATAATAAGAGAACAATGAATTCATATTGGTGGCATATTAAGTTTACTTTTAATTTAAGAGTTGAAGTGAGAAACTGTCAATTTGGACAAGGTGATATATTATATCAAATCTAGTGTTGTATTCACTTTAAGAGGCTCTTATATTATAGTAATTTGAGTCATTGGAACATCCCAAAACTAGAAATAAAAAGTACATGTATTCAGATTTTGAACCTTTTGAATCTTTTTAGAGATATAAAAGTTTACCTGTACCTGGTTATTCTTAATTGTAACTCTTGATAATAATAGCATTACATGTATGTAAATATCTTTATGTGATTTTACTAAGAAATAAAATAAAAAGCCTGAATGAATGCACGTGTTCACATTTTATAGAATTTGGTATCAATGGATATCAATGGAAAAACAAAATATTGAATGTAACAGTGATCACTTCTAGGCTTGGCTTCATATACAGGTATTGCAATAAAATCTAATAAGAGCTTACATGCAATTACAGCACATTTTTATTGCAGTCTGAAAAGGTGCTATATTGCCATCATCTTGTGCTAATGGATGTACATCAGTTTCTGTCCATTTGGGCGATGCTACATAAATCTTTGTCATCCAAATTCTAGGAAAACTGCTTATCCATTAACTTGAAATTTCTACAGGTGCAAGAACAGACAAGTGGCAAGATCTGATTAGGTTTTGGACACATGATGGCCATTTCAAGCAATAAACTTAACTGTAGCATTAAAAAGCATACAATTGTTTTGTTATTTCTAAATCAAATTGCCCCAAAATGTAGGAATTTGATATGGTAATTCCTCATTTGATTCCCTAAGTAAAGTGCTGAAAATACTTGTGTATACATGTATTATAAGCTACTGATCTCCTTTTCTATACTTCATCCTCGGAATATCATCAAAACAATGTGAATTTCATTACTACAGTTTTACTTTTTGAAATGTGAATAATAATTTTAATATGTAAAAAGTAATGAAACACAATCATTTTCAAAATAGAACTGGCTGGTCTTACTAATTTTGAAATGTTGGTGATCACAAATAAGATTTTTTTGTTGGCATTATGTTAATAATTATTTGTTTGCAGATGTGTTTTGACAAGGTGAATAGACCAATCAGAAGAGGACCTTTGTTTAAGAACACATTTCCCAGAAAACCACAGTTTACCAGACACCTCAAGTAAGACACCTTAAATAATCAACATATTTATTTCCCATCAGGCATTGTTAATCTCAGATTATCATATTTCCCATAATGCAACCTCAGTTTAGCAGATGGATAAATTGTTTAAATCAGATGTTCTTGATATTGTTTTGAAAAACAAATACCCCATATATTCATTTTATTATTCATTTACTATGTTAATTCCAGGCAATTTGCCATATCCATGAACTTACACCAGTTTGAAGTTAATTACTGGTGGTCTTTTGCCAAACAACATGGAATAGAAATGAAAGGACAGTCATTGAGTCTGAGTATACGCAACCAATGTACTCTCACCCCTGTAGAAGATGGACTCATCCATAGACCTGAAAGCAATTGGACCATAAAGCAATTCAAGGCGAGTTCAATTTGTATTTTATGGGGTGTTAAGATATCCTCTTTTATGGAAAAACAAAGTAAGTTATGTTATAAACGAGATTGTAAAATGTGTTTTTTAAGTGAAGAATGATTATTTTTTCAACATTCACAGAAAAACGATTTATCATTTTTATGTCACCATTAAAGGTTTTTATGTCACCACCAGAAGTAAATTGTCATAGTTTCCAATTTTATTGTGTACGAATGGTAACAAATGGTAGGTAGTGACATTTTGCATGTTAATGCCTTTTTTAATTATGTTGTATAGTTGAAAGGGGAGCAAACCAAGAATATTTTCCTTGTTTATCCACAACTGACTGCGTTTGGTCAACACAATGGCTTTCAAGAGAAATCTCAGTCAAAGCCTGTTATGTGATCACAACCACTTGCCCAATTACATGAATTAAGGAATATAATTTTGATAACCCCATATGACTTCATTTACATACTTAATGTGGAAGATGAGAAAATGCATAAATACTACAGAGATATATTTTTGTATTTGTATTTTAGGTTGAACTAAATGAAGGCCAGATGTGGTTATGTAGTCAGCATGGAGAAGAAGACCAAGAGAGTGTTTCTATGTTCCGTCCAGTCAGGAAGAGTTATTTCATGTCTGTCGATAAGTAAGTTTTAGTCTTTTCCCATTTGAATTTCAAAACGTGAATACGCAATATAAAAATGCTGGTGAAGAATAAATTATAGTGTCCCATTTTTATGACATTTTGCATGTTTGTACCCTGCTAATATTGTGATAATTAATTAGGTGATTTTGATAATTTGTTATCTGTTTTGTTAATTTTTAGTTTTTGACAGATTTCTCTCAATTGATGTTTTCACCAGTATAGAAATAAACATCAATTTGGCACATATCGTATGAGAATTTGGAATAAAATCTTAAAACAAATACTGATGAAAGTCTCCATTAAAAATAAATAACCCAAACTGCCATCTTTTATTATACATGTACATGTTTTATTCATTCTTGGTGTTTTATTTCTACAGGGTTATGTACACAAGAGATGAACCAACACAACCTGATGACATCACTCCTGATATTGAAACTGCCATCTTTTATTATATACATGTACATGTTTTATTCATTCTTCGTGTTTTATTTCTACAGGGTTATGTACACAAGAGATGAACCAACACAACCTGATGACATCACTTCTGATATTGAAACTGCCATATTTTATTATATACATGTACATGTTTTATTCATTCTTGGTGTTTTATTTCTGCAGGGTAATGTACACAAGAGATGAACCAACACAACCTGATGACATCACTCCTGATATTGAAACTGCCATCTTTTATTATATACATGTACATGTTTTATTCATTCTTGGTGTTTTATTTCTACAGGGTTATGTACACAAGAGATGAACCAACACAACCTGATGACATCACTCCTGATATTGAAACTGCCATCTTTTATTATATACATGTACATGTTTTATTCATTCTTGGTGTTTTATTTCTACAGAGTAATGTACACAAGAGATGAACCAACACAACCTGATGACATCACTCCTGATATTGAAACTGCCATCTTTTATTATATACATGTACATGTTTTGTTCATTCTTGGTGTTTTATTTCTGCAGAGTAATGTACACAAGAGATGAACCAACACAACCTGATGACACCACTTCTGATATTGAAACTGCCATCTTTTATTATATACATGTACATGTTTTGTTCATTCTTGGTGTTTTATTTCTACAGGGTTATATACACAAGAGATGAACCAACACAACCTGATGACATCACTCCTGATATTGAAACTGCCATCTTTTATTATATACATGTACATGTTTTATTCATTCTTGGTGTTTTATTTCTACAGGGTTATGTACACAAGAGATGAACCAACACAACCTGATGACATCACTCCTGATATTGAAACTGCCATCTTTTATTATATACATGTACATGTTTTACTTATTCTTGGTGTTTTATTTCTACAGGGTTATGTACACAAGAGATGAACCAACACAACCTGATGACATCACTCCTGATATTGAAACTGCCATATTTTATTATATACATGTACATGTTTTATTCATTCTTGGTGTTTTATTTCTACAGGGTAATGTACACAAGAGATGAACCAACACAACCTGATGACATCACTCCTGATATTGAAACTGCCATCTTTTATTATATACATGTACATGTTTTATTCATTCTTGGTTGTTTTATTTCTACAGGGTAATGTACACAAGAGATGAACCAACACAACCTGATGACATCGCTCCTGATATTGAAACTGCCATCTTTTATTATATACATGCACATGTTTTATTCATTCTTGGTGTTTTATTTCTGCAGAGTTATGTACAAAAGAGATGAACCAACACAACCTGATGACATCACTCCTGATATTGAAACTGCCATCTTTTATTATATACATGTACATGTTTTATTCATTCTTGGTGTTTTATTTCTGCAGGGTAATGTACACAAGAGATGAACCAACACAACCTGATGACATCACTCCTGATATTGAAACTGCCATCTTTTATTATATACATGTACATGTTTTATTCATTCTTGGTGTTTTATTTCTACAGGGTTATGTACACAAGAGATGAACCAACACAACCTGATGACATCACTTCTGATATTGAAACTGCCATATTTTATTATATACATGTACATGTTTTATTCATTCTTGGTGTTTTATTTCTGCAGAGTAATGTACACAAGAGATGAACCAACACAACCTGATGACATCACTCCTGATATTGAAACTGCCATCTTTTATTATATACATGTACATGTTTTATTCATTCTTGGTGTTTTATTTCTGCAGAGTAATGTACACAAGAGATGAACCAACACAACCTGATGACATCACTCCTGATATTGAAACTGCCATCTTTTATTATATACATGCACATGTTTTATTCATTCTTGGTGTTTTATTTCTACAGGGTTATGTACACAAGAGATGAACCAACACAACCTGATGACATCACTCCTGATATTGAAACTGCCATCTTTTATTATATACATGCACATGTTTTATTCATTCTTGGTGTTTTATTTCTGCAGGGTTATGTACACAAGAGATGAACCAACACAACCTGATAACATCACTCCTGATATTGAAACTGCCATCTTTTATTATATACATGCACATGTTTTATTCATTCTTTATGTTTTATTTCTGCAGAGTAATGTACACAAGAGATGAACCAACACAACCTGATGACATCACTCCTGATATTGAAACTGCCATCTTTTATTATATACATGCACATGTTTTATTCATTCTTGGTGTTTTATTTCTGCATGGTTATGTGCACAAGAGATGAACCAACACAACCTGATGACATCACTCCTGATATTGAAACTGCTATCTTTTATTATATGGTACATGTACATGTTTTATTCATTCTTGGTGTTTTATTTCTACAGAGTTATGTACACAAGAGATGAACCAACACAACCTGATGACATCACTCCTGATATTGAAACTGCCATCTTTTATTATATACATGCACATGTTTTATTCATTCTTATGTTTTATTTCTGCAGAGTAATGTACACAAGAGATGAACCAACACAACCTGATGACATCACTCCTGATATTGAAACTGCCATCTTTTATTATATACGTGTACATGTTCTATTTATTCTTGGTGTTTTATTTCTGCAGAGTAATGTACACAAGAGATGAACCAACACAACCTGATGACATCACTCCTGATATTGAAACTGCCATATTTTATTATATACATGTACATGTTTTATTCATTCTTGGTGTTTTATTTCTGCAGGGTAATGTACACAAGAGATGAACCAACACAACCTGATGACATCACTCCTGATATTGAAACTGCCATCTTTTATTATATACATGTACATGTTTTATTCATTCTTGGTGTTTTATTTCTGCATGGTTATGTGCACAAGAGATGAACCAACACAACCTGATGACATCACTCCTGATATTGAAACTGCTATCTTTTATTATATGGTACATGTACATGTTTTATTCATTCTTGGTGTTTTATTTCTACAGAGTTATGTACACAAGAGATGAACCAACACAACCTGATGACATCACTCCTGATATTGAAACTGCCATCTTTTATTATATACATGCACATGTTTTATTCATTCTTTATGTTTTATTTCTGCAGAGTAATGTACACAAGAGATGAACCAACACAACCTGATGACATCACTCCTGATATTGAAACTGCCATCTTTTATTATATACGTGTACATGTTCTATTTATTCTTGGTGTTTTATTTCTGCAGAGTAATGTACACAAGAGATGAACCAACACAACCTGATGACATCACTCCTGATATTGAAACTGCCATCTTTTATTATATACATGTACATGTTTTATTCATTCTTGGTGTTTTATTTCTGCAGGGTAATGTACACAAGAGATGAACCAACACAACCTGATGACATCACTCCTGATATTGAAACTGCCATCTTTTATTATATACATGTACATGTTTTATTCATTCTTGGTGTTTTATTTCTGCATGGTTATGTACACAAGAGATGAACCAACACAACCTGATGACATCACTTCTGATATTGAAACTGCCATCTTTTAATATACATGTACATGTTTTATTCATTCTTGGTGTTTTATTTCTGCAGGGTAATGTACACAAGAGATGAACCAACACAACCTGATGACATCACTTCTGATATTGAAACTGCCATCTTTTAATATACATGTACATGTTTTATTCATTCTTGGTGTTTTATTTCTGCATGGTTATGTACACAAGAGATGAACCAACACAACCTGATGACATCACTTCTGATATTGAAACTGCCATCTTTTAATATACATGTACATGTTTTATTCATTCTTGGTGTTTTATTTCTGCAGAGTAATGTACACAATAGATGAACCAACACAACCTGATGACATCACTCCTGATATTGAAACTGCCACATCTTTTATTATATACATGTACATGTTTTATTCATTCTTGGTGTTTTATATCTACAGAGTTATGTACACAAGAGATGAACCAACACAACCTGATGACATCACTCCTGATATTGAAACTGCCATCTTTTATTATATACATGTACATGTTTTATTCATTCTTGGTGTTTTATTTCTACAGGGTTATGTACACAAGAGATGAACCAACACAACCTGATGACATCACTCCTGATATTGAAACTGCCATCTTTTATTATATACGTGTACATGTTCTATTTATTCTTGGTGTTTTATTTCTGCAGAGTAATGTACACAAGAGATGAACCAACACAACCTGATGACATCACTCCTGATATTGAAACTGCCATATTTTATTATATACATGTACATGTTTTATTCATTCTTGGTGTTTTATTTCTACAGAGTAATGTACACAAGAGATGAACCAACACAACCTGATGACATCACTCCTGATATTGAAACTGCCATCTTTTATTATATACATGTACATGTTTTATTCATTCTTGGTGTTTTATTTCTGCAGAGTAATGTACACAAGAGATGAACCAACACAACCTGATGACATCACTCCTGATATTGAAACTGCCATATTTTATTATATACATGTACATGTTTTATTCATTCTTGGTGTTTTATTTCTGCAGGGTAATGTACACAATAGATGAACCAACACAACCTGATGACATCACTCCTGATATTGAAACTGCCATCTTTTATTATATACATGCACATGTTTTATTCATTCTTGGTGTTTTATTTCTGCAGGGTAAAGTACACAAGAGATGAACCAACACAACCTGATGACCTCACTCCTGATATTGAAACTGCCATCTTTTATTATATACATGTACATATTTTATTCATTCTTGGTGTTTTATTTCTGCAGGGTAATGTACACAATAGATGAACCAACACAACCTGATGACATCACTCCTGATATTGAAACTGCCATCTTTTATTATATACATGTACATGTTTTATTCATTCTTGGTGTTTTATTTCTGCAGGGTAATGTACACAATAGATGAACCAACACAGCCTGATGACATCACTCCTGATATTGAAACTGCCATCTTTTATTATATACATGTACATGTTTTATTCATTCTTGGTGTTTTATTTCTGCAGGGTAATGTACACAATAGATGAACCAACACAACCTGATGACATCACTCCTGATATTGAAACTGCCATCTATTAATATACATGTACATGTTTTATTCATTCTTGGTGTTTTATATATGCAGGGTTATGTACACAAGAGATGAACCAACACAACCTGATGACATCACTCCTGATATTGAAACTGCCACATCTTTTATTATATACATGTACATGTTTTATTCATTCTTGGTGTTTTATTTCTACAGGGTTATGTACACAAGAGATGAACCAACACAACCTGATGACATCACTCCTGATATTGAAACTGCCATCTTTTATTATATACATGTACATGTTTTATTCATTCTTGGTGTTTTATTTCTGCAGAGTTATGTACACAAGAGATGAACCAACACAACCTGATGACATCACTCCTGATATTGAAAGTGAACATCCTTCTGTAAGTGTTAAAACAAAGATTGTGAGGAATTGATTTCAATAAAAACAGTAATCTGTCTCCTTATTAGTTACACTTTTTGATGTATTGGTGCATGTATTATATTGTCTGATTGGCTATTCTATATGCACATATTATTAGATATATGTAATTATAAGTTGCATTTTTCCTTCCGTCTGCTTATCAATATAAGTTGCATTATGGGATATCCTTCTTTTTATCTTCCAGGAGAATCCTGTTCACAAAGTGCAGATTTACGAACTGAAAGGTATCTGGAGTAAATACAACAGAAATGTCGCCTTTGGTCTGTACAACAGCTACAAACGTGCTAATGAGCTAAAGAAAAATCTGTCAGCTGATGCACTGAAAGGATTCAAGATTGATCCGTCTCAAGTGAGTCCTTAAGATGAAAAAAACATCGTAATTATATATAATTTAGATGATAAAATCTTTCAAAATTTAATTTTCTCAATCTTGATTGGATATTTAGGTGCAGAAAAATCGTAATTTTACCAAGTGGCTCCAAAAAAGTAAACTAGGTTATAGGCCACTTTAAGATAAAAAAGAAACATTATAGTAGCTATAATTTAGGTGTTAAAATTTGATGAAATGTTATGTTCTTATTTTTCCTTTTGCAGGCAAGGGCACGGTCTGTTTCTGTAACATCCCCACCAACTGGAGTACACCGCCCCTCCTCCCCGAGTACAGCGACACCTAGCCCCCAGACAAGAATACAGCAGGGTCATGGATATTCTATGCTCCGGAAACTAGTCTCTGAAACTGATAGCAACTTTGTGGCCTACACAGAGGAGGAGGTAATACCCATAATACCTATGTACACCCATACATGTATATGTTTAGTGGATATTCATTGCATATTGGGGTTATGTAATGGTTTGAAATTGACAATCTGATGTTTATTAGTATAAAGCGCTGCATTTAGATGCTTATCAGATCTACACGTTTGATTGTCAGTTCCATAAGGAAATGAATGAAGTCTATCTGCTCTTCTATTGCATTATGGGATATGTAATGATTAGAAATTGATATCCATGTCTGATTTAAGAAATATAAACCGAAAAGCAGGGCTTATATCGTCGAATACACCCCGCAGGGCTAGGCACAAACGTTTTCTGTACCCCGAACGACCGAAGGGAGTGAGGGGTTCGAAAGCTTTTGTGCCTAGCCCCAAGGGGTGTATTCGACGATATTACCCCTGCTCTGAGGTCTATATTACGATTCGAAATTCACCAAATTGTTTCGAATATTCATCATGGTCCGCCATTACTACGACCCACCGTTATGACGTCACACATTTCAAGTATTAACTGGGTTATTGATCTCGAATATAACCCAGCTGAAGCATTGACTTTGTTTACAGTTTATAGAAGGCGTGAATACAGTCATGTTCGAATATCTGTTACAATATGATGTACTCGTACATAGTATGAAGTGATGCATTGAGATGCTTATCAGATCTACATAGTATATGTTTGATTGTCAATTCCACATTCCACATGAATAAAAAATGTCTGCTCTTCAATTGCATTATGGGGTATCTTTGTTTTGCAGCCATCTGGAGCTCCTGTAGAACAATTGTCTGGCATGCAGGCGTGCCAGACAGAGGACATTTTACAGAAAAATTGGTTAAGTAAGTACACTTTCATTGAAAGTCTGAACAAAAACATTTTTTAAGGATGGCATTTTGTGGTTGTTGTACAGTGGTTGGCATCTGTAACAAATGGCAGGTGGTGACATTTTGCATGTTAATGCCTTGTAAAGGATGTTATTGAAAAGAGATGTAATTTTAAGAGATGCTCTAGGCTTTCTAGTCCCCTATTTTGACCACTAACTAATTTATTCTAAGACAAGACTATTTTTCCCCTTGAACACATGTACACCATCTGCAAACCCCTAACTAATTTAAGTCTAGGTTTAAGTTTAGGTTTTTCATGCTTAAGACATCTTCTATTGCTTCCCAGTTGAATATTACATTTACTTTTATTTTAGTTGAACTCCACAATAGTCAGGTTATGATCAAAGGCTGTGAGACACATGGTCACATGATCGTTGGCATGGGGAAGGCACATATTTTGTCTTGTATGCATCAGCCAGTTTGGCGGGAAAGACAATTGAAGAGCAAGAACACATGGATCGGTTCTGTAGAATGTATGCAGGTAAGTACATGCTGATACCCCTCTAAAGTCATCTGCTGTATTCATGAACTAGTCTGTAATGCTTGATGGACCAGTCTATTAGTGTAGGAGATTAAAAGAAAGGGGTGCTGCTATTTACTTTGGTACATTCTTACTCTAATAATACATGTATTGTTTTATTTTTTGCACTCAATTTTACACTTGTGCTTTTCTATTTAGTGGGTTTATTTTGTTTTAAGACTAGTTTGTGAACTAAATACAAAAAACATGATATGACATTTTTAGTATAGAAGTTTCCGAATACATGTATATGTTTCATTACAGGTGTAAAGTCTCCCAGTTTACTCTATTAGTTTTTATGTCACCATCCGAGTGGTATTGAAAACTTTTACAGGGACTAAGTATCAAAGAACAAATTGATATTCTCAAAGTTTGACTTGTTAAAAAAAAAAATTGGCTCACCCTGTAGATACCATATAGTATATCAATCATGCATTTGCCCCGTGACTTATGCTGCTGTTATCGAGCTCTGTATTTTTTCCAGTATTATGCAACAGTGGATGCTGGGAAGGAAGCCAGTGATGACATCATGTGGTTGCCAAGGGAATATGTTGAAGATCGTCCAAGCGAAGAGGTGGAAGGAATCCCAGAAATGGTTGGAAGTGGTCAAAGTGTTGGTGGTGTCATAAGTTCCTTTGTTGGCCTCTCTGATAAGGTAAGTTGCCTTCATATACAGGTTGGCTCAAAATTAGGTTAACAGTTTACAGAAGGAGAATGATTGTGACCGTAACTTTTGGGCCACCCAGTATACATATTGGACTGTGTTGGACGTTGCTTAATTCCTTTTCATTGTTTAATAGTGTATTTTATCATTTATTTTTTGAAGTTTAAATTTTATTCGAGTTGAAACACTCATTCAAACTCCAGTTGCCAGATTTATACTTTTTACTTATTAAAAACAGTTTCTGAACTGAAATAAATCAATTAATGATTTATACCGGTATTAAATTTAACACTAAAATTTTTACAGGCCGCTGGAGCACTTGGAGTTCAGATGCAAAGAATAATCTCCAGATGTCGCTGTCAATTCTTTTATGCAAGCTTTGGCGAAGTTGATAGTACAACTCTAAAAGAAGTCCCACAACCTGTAAGTACAAATTTACGATTTAAAATTTATAAATACATGTGTGCATAAAATATGTATGGAAATAAGATCACTTGGTAAATACATATGTACTTAGATCAGTTTGTAAATATGTGTGCACATAACATTGATTTGTAAACTCATCTGCACTTAAGAACAGTTTGTAAATAGATCAATTCTCAAATTCATATTGCACATATGATTAACTTGTAATACCTACAGTATTCATATAAGATCAGTTTATAAATATAAATGCAAATAATATAACTTTGTAACCTGTTTGTAAATACATCTGCATATGAGATCATAATATAGTACTATATACATCTGCACATGAGATCACAATATAGCACTATATACATCTGCATATGAGATCACGTTGTATATACATCTGCACATAAGATCATTTTCTCAATACATATGTACATTAGATCAACTTGTAAATACTTATACGTAGATCAGTTTGTAATTATGTATGGAAATAATATCACTTTGTAAATATATTTGCACATAAGATCAATTGAAACATATGACTTAAAATACAGGGTGGTCAAGAATAATGGAAACCCTGCCACCATTTTTAATATTAGCTTGTAAATATGTATGAACATAAAATCAATTTGTAAATATCAGTACCCATAAGATCAATTTGTAAATGAATCTGCACTTTGATCAGTCTGTAAATTCATAGGCCCATAACATCATTTTATATGTATGCCTGCACATCAGATCAATTTCTTGAAACACATGCCCATAAGATCAGTTTGTATGTACATTTCTTTTACTTCCATGTTGCTTCTGCCTTTTTCTCCTGGCCAGGATTTTCCTTTTCAAAACATTGTTTTGAACCACGATTTCAATTTTATTGTATTTCTATTTTGAGAGTCATCTTTGTGCCTGTTCACTATTTCCTTGCAGATTCCACTCCTTTTAATGCGATTACCATTTTTATGTCACCGCCACCAGAATGGTGACATACCTGTATTGTTATACTCTCCCAACTTTTTTGTGGATGGTGTTTGTGTTTGGCGGTAGGTGTTCGATGGTTGGCATCTGAAACAAATGGCAGGAGGTGACATTTTTCATATTTATTTATTATTAAACATCACTCCAATCAAATATAATGTTTAATTGTTTATTGTTCATTTCAGCCCTCAGAAGACAGTGATATGTGGGAACAGGAAAGAGGGGTTGATTCTTTCACGCTGTTGCACCACGACCTGAACATTTGTACAAATCCTGTGAGTATTATGGAATATTTACTAGTATTTTAAAATGTACTTCTACATGTATGCACGAGTATATATTAGATGTAAAACATCATAATTTTTAATCTCCAGTATCTGCTTTGTTAGATGCATTATGGGATACCTAATGGGATATGTAAAATCAGATTAATCCACTTTTGGAATATATGTGAAATCCCTACAAAGCAGATGTTTCCGATAAATCGTGCCATCTTTTGATCCATCAGGGAAACTTAACTTATTGGCTAGATTGATGACGTCATTGGATGTAGCTATGATGGATCAAAAGATGGCATGATTTATCGGAAATGTCTATTCTAGGTGTTATTCATTTTGTCAACAATATATGTAATGGAATGGAGGAGTTTCAAAGAGAACTTGAAGGAATTAAAGTGAGAGGAGTATTGTAAAATTCCCTTGACAGAAAGACTTTATAGTTTTGTTTTGTCTAATTCCAGCTTCAGTATACAATGATCCTAGACATAGTCAACAATTTGTTGCTATATGTTGACCCCAAGAAAAAGGTATGATTTTCATTTTCTGAACTTTGAATCACGTACATGTAGAACTCTTTATTTTAAGCGTTCCTCATATCTCCAGCTAAAAGCCAGTAATACCATGTTGTGAAGTAATCTTGTGAATATTATAAGTTACAGTAACATCACATAATTTGTTATAGTCTCTAACCTTTTTGTGGATGTTGTTTGGTGGTCAGTGCCTGTAACAAATGGCAGGTAGTGACATTTTGCATGTTAGTCCCTTGTACTGATTTTCCCCAGATATGTGATATTGGACCAAAATAAAAGACAAGTGTCTTACATTTGCAAGTGTCCTCCATTTGCAGGCTAACACAGACAAGCTTCAACAGATGACATTTAGGTATCACCTTAGTGATGCTGAGAATCATAAACTTCCCATTACCCAAAAACAGGAAGAGATTCGAGAACTCATATTAAGCATGAGACACCTTGAGAGACAGCTTTTTATGGTTCACAAGGTAACAATTTTAGAACTCATATTAAGCATGAGACACCTTGAGAGACAGCTTTTTATGGTTCATAAGGTTACATTTTTTACTTTTGTAAAGAAAAGTTTTATGCATGTTAATTGCATTTTGATAGACAAAAATGTTAATATTTATCACTTACAATTTCAATTCATTACCTGTACATCCACAATTTTGAAGTAAATATATTCAAAGAATAACAAGCAAATCCAGTAACCAAGTGCATGTGCAGTCACTAAATTGTTTTCAGTCTTTCCTCCATTATACTTACATAGTTTGCCTTTCTCTGTCGTCTCCTAACAAACAAACTTCTTCAAAATATATTCTAGTGATATTATTCGGACTATTTAGAGTTGATGATCTATATTTTAATTTATGGTGTCTGTAACAAATGGCAGGTGACATTTTGCATGTTAATGCCTTGTTTATTTAATTCTCTCAACAGGCTTTAGAAGTAGACAGTGGAATGGACAATGGTCAATTAGAAGAACAGAGAACAGAATTAGAGAAGAAACTGTATGATCTAAAACACAAACTGGCTGTTGAGAATAACGACCTTGGTATAATGATCAGGTGAGAATCTCTTGATTAATTAGTCACATATTAGTCCACATATTTTAACTCATATGTTATAAACTTCACACCTATATATCTTTACATATTTAGACATTTTAACTCTTAACATGCTATAACTTTTCATATGCAGGGTGATAAAAAATGAAAACTGCATTTTCTTCATATCTATGTCATTTTAAGAAATTTTTCCCCGATATTCCTGAAGTCATTCTCGTACACTATCTTTGGGGTAACCCCCCAGGTAGGAGTCAGGTAGGGACATTTTTGACAATGTGTGCAGGTTTGCCTAATAAGTGCAATAGTGGCCACTGGAGGATGTTGTTTAAAGTACTGTAACATATTAACATAACAAATATGCCAAATATCAGTGAGTAATTTCTTAAGTGACAAAGACATGAGGAAAATAGCTTCAGGGTTTCCATTATTTTTGACCACCCTGTATTTTTATGTCCCCACCACATAGTGTGGGGCCATATTGTCGGCCTAGGCGCGTCCGTCTGTCTGTCCGTCCGTACGTCCGTCCGTCTGTCCGTACGTCCGGGAGTTTTCTCCAAAACCGCTACAGATATCACCTTCAAATTTTCAGGGATAACTTATGAGTGCATACAGATGTGGATGAAAATTTTTTAACTCGATACCTACTTCCTGTCGGCCATTTTGAAGTCAAATGCTAAAATCCTTGTCTGCAAACTTTAAGAAAAACGGCTTCACAGTTGCTTTTAAAACTTTAACATCTTGTTCAGCTCACTTCATTCTAGATCTGATTAGGTTTTGGACCTGTTAGCTCAGTCATGTCAGCCATTTTGAATGTCTTAAGAAAAGTTAGCGCACGATAATACTTTGTATCATATTGAATGGAGTTTCTGAGTTTTCATAGTTTTTTGACATTCTGGGTAAATGTCAAGGCAGCCATTTTGGATTTTCCATCCTAAAAGCTTGTCTGTAAAGTCTTGTTTACATGTTTTCTAGTTAACTGTGTGACGGATCAATTAAAATTGTGTTTGTAAAGTCTTGTCTACTCATTTTCAGGATAACCATTTCATGGGATCACCCATTGGTGGGGACATTTTGTACACATTTGTGTTCTTGTAAGTCATATGTTTCAAAACTAAATATATTTCAGTTGTTACAAAGATGCTCAACTACACCTGAGATCACAAACAAAAGCTGCCCTCTCAAAACAAGCAATTGTAATACGTCGCAACGAGGTCTGCTTCAAACATGCTCAGTGGAGACTGACACAGAAAGATGGCCAGCTGGGGATTGCAGATCTAGTTCTACGTAACTTCCTGTAGGTTATGAATATATTACTTTGAAGAGATAGAATTTATGATGCACTGAAATTTGTGTCCTTACATTGTGTGTCATATGCCCAGGAACATGTATAAAATAATCGAGTTGAGTGGCCAAAGAAAAATTTTTTGTACATGTTCCCAGGCATATAATATGATGTGTTTTCACCTCTGAAATGAAACATTTTTTTCAATCAATGTTGTGGATATCCTGTTGACGCTTGTGTTATTTAATGCAAACTTCAATCCAGTCCCAGCATAATTTAACAATATTTAAATAGATTTATTAAGGAATCCCTCATTTTCAACTTCAAAGATACAAAGAGTGAACAATTTCAATGTTGTGGTTATTCCATTGACCCTTGCGTTACTTAATACAAACGTTTATCCATATTTAAATAGGTTTAATCAATCCCTCCTTTTCACATTCATAGATACAACAAAGTGAACCGGAGTGATGATTCAGGCACGCATACATTGGAGCTTGGTTGGATTAAAATGGAAAACCTTTTACCGAATACCATCTACAAAGATGTTGTGCTTCCCCAAGAAGGACACCAAGGTCAAGGTCGCCAAGTAACCTTGAGGATAACATGCAGAGAGCGCCCTCCAGTTGGAGGTATTGTAACTAGAAATAAATACATTTCAGTTAATATAATCACATTATATTTTTTTCATCATCAGTTTATCTACAACAAAAACTATTCTTTTTAATAGATGTTACTGGCTGATTCAGAAGCTTCATTAATTCCTTTGTCACAATAATGCTCCGATTTTCATTACGGCGCCTGCCCGATTGAGTATTTTGTCCAGAAATGTATTCAATTTTGAACAAATTACTTAATCGGCCGAGCGCCGGCCGATGAATCGCAGCAAATGTGTTCCAGGCATAACAAGGGGGCTCAACTTTTACTACTTCACAACCTATGATAGCACCTTTATGTTGATTAGACTCAATTTACTATTTTGCAAGGAACAAATAAACTACAATGAGACCTGTATATCTAAACACCTCTCTAATCCCAACACCTCTCAATGTGAACACTTTTCTCTGTCCTAAATTTCAGGGTTCGTACACACCTGGAAATGTCAGGGAAATTGATTTATTTTTCCAGGTGCTGGAAATGTCAGGGAATTTCAAAATTGGGTCAAAAAGGGCCAAAAGTGTCAGGGAATTTTGAAACAGTAGATGTGTCAGGGAAATGTCAGGGAATTTTGTATCATTGTTGAAAAAATAATGTTCCAGCAAAATACATTTAAGGCTATGATAGGATATCAATGAAATCCAAAATCGAACATTTAGTTGTTTCCACAAATTGCAAATTTTTTCATTAGGGTTGATTGAACAGTGTGAACATTATACTGAAACTGAACAATAAAGAATATGTATAGATGGTTCAATACAATTATGCTTTTCCATGTACTGTAGTAAGCAAGTCTAAGGCCATTCAAAGTTAATTACTGGTATATGTTTCATGGTTTGTTGAGGGGTTAATCTGAGGAGGGCGGGAGGTGAAAAACTCTTCAGTTTAAAATTGTATTCATCATATTAAAGCTGGACTACGCTCCGAAACGCAATCTTGGGTTGTTTCGGGGGTGAACTTTATCATTTTGAGCTTAATGAAAGATTATAGAATGATGAACAAATGGGGCAAATCTTGTGTAGAAATACTTACGATAAATGTGTCATTTCAAAGATTTTTCATTGAATTTGCTTCGATCGGAGCCGGAGATATGATTTTGGAAAGGTCTCTAAATGAAGAACGTGATGTCACTTCCGAATCATAGCATTCAAAATAAGTAGCATTTAATTACTACCACCATCCATAATAATACGGTGGTGAAGCGGTAGAATCCCCGCCGAGCACGCGGGAGGCCCGGGTTCGAATCCCGCATTCGCCTTTTTATTTTTTTAACTAAATGATTGTTCTTTGATATTACGCAGAAAAAAACAATTTTTATTTACATAAACTTTATATTAGAGTTTGAAAATGTAAAAACAATATATGTCAACATATTGCGTTTTGGAGCGATGTGCAGGTTTAAGGAGCTGTCTGTTCGACAGTCCGGTAGTATTCAGTCTATTTATCTAACTCAAATATCAGTTGACAGATTTGGTTAAAATGTTATATATGCTTTTGTTGCTGTCTCTGCTCAAGAAGACAGTTGCCATTTTTCATTTCATGTTCACAATGATAGTATTCGATAAATATGTTTCATTAGGTAGGAATTGGCACTCAAGGGAGTTGCTATTTTTCTTTAGATCAACATTTTTAAGTTTCAGTTTTTATTTGGATTCATTACTAAACATTAACAAATTATAGTTTGAAATGCTTAGAATGCACCATATACAATTGTCAATTTTGAAAAATTTCCGGGGTTGAACCCCCGTACCCCCCTTTGGATTTCCTTCACTCACAGTGATGCAAACCCCCAAAAATGCACCCCCTTGACACTTGGTGACTATGTCCCTGTACATGTATGTTTACCTTCGTAAATATGTAAAATTAAGAATATAATGTATCAGGAATAAATTGGTGAATAACGGCCTGTAGAAGTAAAGTTGAGTCATGAGAAATGGTACTAAGGGATAAACCCAAAATGTTTCACAATAAGTCTTGTCTTTTATTAAATTATACAGTTGTTAGATACTTTTTAGAGGCAGTGCAAGGAAAACTAGATCTGGAAATTTTATTTTATGCCTGGAAATGTCAGGGAAATGTCAGGGAAATTCATTTTGAAAAAGGTGTACGAACCCTGAATTTGTCTCCCATTGACTTACATGAATTAAAAACCTTGTAATGTAAACACTTGCTAATCTGATGTTCAGATTAGACAGGTATTACTGCTAGTTAATAAGAGGCCTATTTAGGCACCTTTATACTGTATTCAAACATGACCGTGCTCTATTCGAATTTCTCAACCAATCAGAATGCAGCATAGCCAATATAGAACGTTCTCTAATTCTCCATAGATGCACGATCATGCTCTATTCAATCTGCAATTTGCATTGTTTTGAGTGACGTCACATCTGGGGCTCTGTCCGGGGATAGCTGTTCTTTTTTACTCCCTCCGTAACTACTGTAACTATTTTATCAACACCCCATGTTTGCATACACTGTATAAAATCTAAAACGGGGAGTAAAATAGAACAGCCCAAACAAATTCTAAAATTTTTCCGGCCGACTTCAGAATCTTGACAGCATGCGTATTCTTCCTTCATGCCCGTTCTACAGACACGGCTTTTACTAATTTTTATGTTTGAATCGGAATAAATAACGATAGGCCATTCAATATGGTGAAATTCAGCACTCGTTGGACAGAATGTTAGTACAAATGCACTCACCTTCGGTTCGTGCTTTGTACAACATTCTGTCCAACTCGTGCTGAATTTCACCATATTGAATGGCCTATCATTATTTATTCCTTAAGTATGATGCAATGTATTCAAATTGAACATATTATTTAGGTATCGGGATAAAGGAACATTTTGAAGTAAATGTTGTCCCACTAACCATCCAGATAACACATCAATTGTACAAGGCAATGATGGCATTCTTCTTTAAGGAAAAAACTCCAGATTCAGAATGTAAGTGTAATTTTTTATAATTCTCGAAAATGAGCATAAAACTTCTGTTGCTTAGAGATTAGGTCAGTATTATCAATGTAGATAAAAGTCGCACAGTTCTTAAATGCAATATATTACAAGTCACAAAGTTCTTAGATCTAAGATGCAAATTTCATTTTACCGTATAAGGTAAATTAACCATCAGTTATATCAAAAAGTACTAAGAATGTTTAGGCATTTTGGAATCCAATTAAGCAGTCAAAAAGAAATGGGGATTTACGCCCATTCTCTCAAAACAATTTTAACTTAGCAACTTGGTGAATATGATCATAATATATTGACCATACACCATAATGAGACTTATTTTAACATGTTAAAATCTAAGACAAGATGCGAGTAGAAAAAATCTTGACTTACGCCATCAAATATTCAAATTCAGTCAAAACGATGTTATATTTGAAATCTACATGTAAAAGTAAATCTAGAAATATGGTTACCAAAATTGTTTATCAAGTTTGAAAAATAATTATTTTTGAAAGTGTGACTTCTTGTTCGGGTCGATTCTCCATAGAGCCCATGTTACAAAATCACAAAAAGTGAAATATCTTTTCTTGTATTGGTCAGATAACATTTTCATTTACTGGACATATTTTGATTTGCATAACTAATAAGGGTTATATGAAAATTGAACCACTAAAACAGATGTTATTTAAATTAAAGGGAACTTTCTACTATACCCTCCATGCTATCTGACCCCAACGAGCCACCTAGAGGTGAAACTGGTAACTACCTACTCGCATCTGCGTTATTTACATTAGAGTGTAAAATACATCGTATATGAATTCCATTTGATATTAATATATTAGATAAATATGACCTTGTCTGGAAGCAAGATGTCGTGGGTTCAATCCGAACTAGAGTGGACTGACTTTCACATTAGCCCTCAGCGCAGAATTTCATTCTGTGTTAACAAATATGAGCTTATATATAATTGTAGATGACAGTGGCCAGGAAGCAAAAGGCAAGAAGGAAAAGAAGAAAAAAGAGGGAAAATCAAGCTGGTTTGTCCAGGCTGATGACATTGATAAAATGAAGGTATATATTATGAATGGTTTGAAAGTTTATGTAATAATCATTTTGATTGGAGGGAAATATTGTTATTTAAAAGAACACTCATCAATCTTGTAATTAGAGATGGGAGAGTAATTAAAGGGGAGTGTCATCTAAATTGTGGCAGATTATTGCGCATTGCCCAGAGCAACGTTTGGGTGGGTACATGTATGTAAAGCTGCCTCTCTATTGAATCTTAGGGAAGTATACATGAACGTTCCATTCCACTTTTTTCAAAATTAGGGATTTAATCAAGTGTTTTATAGATGTAGGATAACATTTTTTTTAATTATTTTACAGTAACATTTATCTTAAAAACCCTGTAAATAATTGTAATTTTTGGGATATGAATCATTCTATTTAGCCTAGAGAGAAACAGCTTGATAACTACTGTACTTCTTCTTAATTTGGCACTACTTATTTTAGTGGATTTTCCGTTTTGAACATTTGGCGGCTAATTAATTTGGCGGACTTGCAATATTACAGTGCACTAGTGGTACCAATTAACATGGTACTAAAATTACAGAGGAATTTGTCGGCTACTTAATTTGGCAGATCCGCCAAATTAAAATGGCTGCCAAGTACAGTACTTTGTCTCTCTTATTTATAATTCATTAATGAAAACACAGATTGAAATTCTGTGATCTTTCAATAGTATATGATTCTATTTTGTATTTTAATAGGACCGAGCAGCCAAAAACAATACATTCCTCTATGTGAAAATACCAGAGGTTCCTATTAAAGTTAGCTACAAGGTGAGTTGTCATTAAAATAAACTTAAAAGGCCTCTGAATCTGATCTCAAAATAAGTACTTCAAAGTGTTCTGCATCTGTAACAAATGGCAGGCAGTGACATTTTGCATGTTAATGTTTAATTTTTAGAAATGAATCATCGTTGAAAGTACAATTTTCATTTAACATTGTAATGGTAAAGGGTTGCACTTAGGATCAAAATTATGTCCACATTTTTTAACAATAGACAGATGCAGATACAATTAATCATGATATTCATAATTAAAAGATTGCTTCCCATTTTTATCTCATTCATTACGAATAAGACGTTCTGCATTGTTATTGTCACTGTTTTTTTTGGTTGTCTTAGATATGGTTAATGTCTGTAACAAATTGTTACACTTTGTAATTATTTGCACAACTAATCCATTTTAATCTGCAATTTGCATGCTAATCGTAATGTTGAAGGATTGAACGACATATATATTATATATATATATATTATTGAACCTTCATAAAATGTGAACATAATTTTAAATAAATTGCTTTTTGTAGGGTGAAAAGGGGAAAAATATTGAAGACGTCCATGATTTTACTTTGATGCTCCCAACATTGGAATACCACAATCAAACCTGGACTTGGCTTGACTTACTTATGGCCCTGAAAAATGACAACAAACGTGTACTCATTGCACAGGTAAAATAGCATCAATTGATTACTCATTGCACAGGTAAAACAGCATCAATTGATTACTCATTGCACAGGTAAAACAGCATCAATTGATTACTCATTGCACAGGTAAAACAGCATCAATTGATTACTCATTGCGCACAGGTAAAACAGCATCAATTGATTACTCATTGCACAGGTAAAACAGCATCAATTGATTACTCATTGCACAGGTAAAACAGCATCAATTGATTACTCATTGCAAAGGTAAAACAGCATCAATTGATTACTCATTGTACAGGTAAAACAGCATCAATTGATTACTCATTGCACAGGTAAAATAGCATCAATTGATTACTCATTGCACAGGTAAAACAGCATCAATTGATTACTCATTGCACAGGTAAAATAGCATCAATTGATTACTCATTGCACAGGTAAAATAGCATCAATTGATTATTCATTGCACAGGTAAAATAGCATCAATTGATTACTCATTGCACAGGTAAAACAGCATCAATTGATTACTCATTGCACAGGTAAAACAGCATCAATTGATTACTCATTGCACAGGTAAAACAGCATCAATTGATTACTCATTGCACAGGTAAAATAGCATCAATTGATTACTCATTGCACAGGTAAAACAGCATCAATTGATTACTCATTGCACAGGTAAAATAGCATCAATTGATTACTCTTTGCACAGGTAAAACAGCATCAATTGATTACTCATTGCACAGGTAAAACAGCATCAATTGATTACTCATTGCACAGGTAAAATAGCATCAATTGATTACTCATTGCACAGGTAAAACAGCATCAATTGATTACTCATTGCACAGGTAAAATAGCATCAATTGATTACTCTTTGCAAAGGTAAAACAGCATCAATTGATTACTCATTGCACAGGTAAAACAGCATCAATTGATTACTCATTGCACAGGTAAAACAGCATCAATTGATTACTCATTGCACAGGTAAAATAGCATCAATTGATTACTCTTTGCACAGGTAAAACAGCATCAATTGATTACTCATTGCACAGGTAAAACAGCATCAATTGATTACTCATTGCACAGGTAAAACAGCATCAATTGATTACTCATTGCACAGGTAAAATAGCATCAATTGATTACTCTTTGCACAGGTAAAAGTGTCAAATGTGTGATTCACCTGGGATGAACTGGAAACAGGGAGGTTGCTGCGTATCAAAATGACCATAATGAAAAAGGAGCATTTGGTAAGATTTTTTCTTTTCATAATTTTTGTGCTATCATGTTTCAAATTACAACTAAATATTTGGCAAGTAAGTGGTTTGTGAGTTACGGTTTCACTTTAGAAATTAATGCAGTCATTGCTTTAATATTTGCAAATCGATTCCCTGAAACACGTACCTCGTTTTTTATTAAGCAAGAGAATTGATTTGTGAATATCTCAGCAATGACTGGATTGATTTCTAAGTTGTAATCATATTTCAAACCCGGAACTTACTATTTCCCTGCCAAATATTTAGTTGTAATTTGAAAGATAAAAGCCAAATGCTCCTTTTTTTCATTCGCGGCCATTTTGATACGAGGTGAAACCTCCCCTCGTTTCCAGTTCATCCCCTGTGATTGCTTGGATACAATAGCATCAATTGTGTAAACAGGTAAAAGTGTCAACTGCATATTTGATATAAGATCAAATGCGCACTGATTGCACAGGTAAAATAGCATCAAATGTAAAAGTAAAACAGTATGTATTGTGTACTCACTGCAATGGTAAAAAAGTAGTATCAATTGAGTCTCCTTAAACAGATAAAATCAAGTATTACTGTACAGGTAAAATAAGATCAATGTGTAGTCTTTGCAAAGGTAAAAAGTAGTATCAGTTGAGTATCATTAAACAGATAAAATAGGATCAAGTATTTTTGCACAGGTGAAAGAAGATCAATTGTGTACTCATTGAAAGGGTAAAATAGCGTGAAATGTGTACAGTGAAACCTCTCTAATCTGAACACCTCTCTTATCTGAACACCTCTCAATTTGAACACCTCTCAATTTGAACACCTCTCTATTTGAACATTGTCTTAAATGTTTTAGGCTGTCAAACAAAAGTTGCATATACGATCACGACTTGGGGATCAAGAAGCTCCCTTGACAGATGTACAGCAAGAAGAAGATAAAGCTAAGATGCTCCTTGGAGCGAGGCTTTTGGTAAGTTCATAGGGACTCTATGATGGTCTTTGTTTATACATGTTAAGATTTGAGCCGACATTTTGTCAACTCCAAATTGTAGAAATGCTAGAATATTGTGCAGTTTGCTCAGAGTGATTTATTTGATGAGAATTTTATGACCTTAATCAAGTTCTAGCACTTTGTCAAAAATTATGACTAAATTGCTAAAATTATGTCTTGACTGTCAATTTGCATTTCTAAATAATATCATTATGATAATGTTGATGCTATCTCTGCATTTAATGAGAATGATACAGGATGTGTTTTTACATGGGGAAAGTTCTCCAAAATATATACTTAATTCTAAAAATATATTGTTTCAATTTTCTCAGTTATGTTTCAGTGATAAGCATGGTATTGAAATTGTCTGTAACTTAAAACACAGTTAAATGATTTTACCTGGACTGTTGGAATTGACTAAACCTAACCCCTTCATTATATAAACAAGTAATAGTGAATGATATTAGCGTATATTTTATTCATAGTTTATAAAAAGGTTTGTGACAACCTACACCTTCATGCATGAGTTTCAATAACTTTTATATAATTTTATAATTATATATCTTGTATATCTTCATGTATGCCTCTTTCAATTGGATATTATAATCAGTATTTTGGGTACCAGGTGACCATTTACCCCAAACCATACATTTATAATTACTAATTGGACAAACTGGTCCTTTTCCATAAATGGCTAAAAGATTAGAATTGATACATGCATTGTACCACCAAGCACCTTTGTGAGATTCAGCACAATTTACAGTTTTATGCAAGTCATTATCATTGTCATATGTAGAGAACTGTTTGCCATTATGGGTTGCCATGGCGTCCCCCATAGTTCCACTAAATCCCTTGATAGTTAGGCGATATTTGTCAAGTCTGTCAATATGAAAGTCTGTATATTCAGCTGACCTTTTCGTACTATTTGGACCTGGCCACATGGCGAGGTCAAATCGAACTTTATAGTCGCCCTGGTTCAATATGCTCGCCAGGTTATCAAGTCCAAGAAAATATTCTTTTCTTGGATTTCCAAATCCATGCACATAGTCGATCCATGGTAAATAAAAGTCTTGGCTGCCATCGAAACGTTTGAAAACATAGAGCCAGCCTTTGTCGCAATAGGCGCTGAATATACGTCCTTCCTTTGTTCGTATTGTCCGCACTCCAGTGAATGATGGATCCGAATTACAGTCCTCAACATAGCATGTCTCTGCAACAATAAAATTTTTTCATTTATATACATATATTTATTATTCACTCTCCTAGGATTGAGGCAAATTTTCAGAAAACAGAGAAATAAGAGATTTAAATGTAAATGATGTGATAAGGAATTCAAATGACATTGCTGATGTTAGAGTGCAAAAAATATCTTGATTGAAAACTACATTGATTTCAGCTTCAGAAAGTTCTTATACTCAAGCATGTGTCACTTCACTTGACCAGTTACCCTCATTGTATGTTTTAATGTCATTCAAATTGATAAAAGTTTATTGCTTAGTTTGTAAAATATTTCCAATAAAACTCAGATTTGTAACAATGTTTCAATTTAGCTTTTCCCATCCATTTCAGAAAATGAAAAAAATGTGAACAGAATTCAAATCTGTCATCACATATTATTTTAGTTCTCATGATAATGATACATTAGATTAAATAATTTGATGGCTATCTACATGTGCTAGTTTTATGATATCACTAAGTTGCTAATAACTGAAACAGATTAAATTAGAAACTAAAATTTATTAAAGTAATTAGGTAATTAAAAGTAAACAAACTATATTTTGAATCTAATATTATCACAAAGGTTATAGCGAAATTATAAAATTATGTAACATAACATACTTCACTCTTTCCTTAAATCTTGAATTTATACTATATTTTGCGCTTTTCGCGAGTTTTGGAAAAATTCCTGAAATATAATATAATGATTTTAAGAAAATTAGAAAAAGAAGCAGGCAAGTTTTTGAGAAGTCACAAATCCGCCAAAATTTCAACAGACTGGAAAATTGGCAAAAATTAATAGCAGTAAAACTTCAAAATTGTAAAAATGCAGAATATAATAGCGTCAAATATTAGATGGAGTGCAGTATGATTGTGAGGTTTGCAGGATGTATTGCACACAACCTTAAACATTTCCTTTTATTTTGTGAAACTAAGCATTCTAGGATACAATAAACCATCATGTAGTGATGCATTTCCGATGATCAATTAAAGTACTCATTCTTGAATGACCAACAGCCTGAAAACAGTCTTTATGTCCCATATATTTTGTAATAGTCAACAAATGCAAAGATTTTGAAATATCAGCAAAAAAATAAATTGGCAAATTTTTGCAAATCACCAAATTAGAGCAGGTACCAAATTAAGTAGTGCATGGTAACAGTATTAAAGGAATTCTAGGCGAGAAAAATAACAAAATATTGGTTCTGGGACAAGATCAAACGACTTTTACATATTCTTTACCCTACCTATTTTGTAATTTAACAATCAACACAAGTATACATACCATATTTCAGCAGATAAAAAAAATATGAAAATATTTTTTGATCGATAAAATCATGGATTATAAAACCGGAAGTGTTTTCTCTGAGGTCCGTGTGGAATATTTTAATTATTTCAGATTTTGCTGTGCATTCGATTTTGAATGCTTCTTAATGATCTTCAAATGCTAACTATGATTTCTCTTTGTAATGTTTTGACTTCCCTCTTCATAAAAACAACATTATCACCATTTCCTCAACTCAAAAATTCACTTCTGGTCTGTCGTAATAAAGATGAGCTGAAAGTTGTGAACTTCTTTCAATCCTCAGTCTAAACATAGCTTTTTAAGGTTCAATAGATGGTTTTGAATGGATCTGCATGCATAGATCGAAAATAAAATAATCAGAGAAGGTTTTAAACCATGAAATCGACTCTTAAGCCTGAAAAAGATTTTTTTGAACCATTTTGTCGGCTGTATGTTACAATGTACCTTTAAGCTGTTAAGTATTTATTTACAAATAGATGAGAAACAAACATTTTACTCACCACAATTACTGTCATGCCTGTGTCCACTTGTAGTTTGTTCATTCAGACTTTCTTCAATTGTTTCCTTTATTTCATTCTTCACCTCTGCAAGGCAAATGTCCACCTCACTATGTGCTCTAACTGCAAAAATAACAGTTAGCAAAATTGTGAACTTCTTCATATTGTCAGATATGGAAAGAACCTGTGTATATTGAATTCTATCAATGAATAAGGATATATACCTCTGTTATCCATTAATATGTTTCATTTAACTAATTAAAGGGGCCTGAATTATGATGTAATATTGAATAATATGCCAAGCGTAAAACAATAGTCAACATAGGTGAAGTAAAAATGTTTTCTAGAGATTTAATAACCAAACTGTAAATGTTTGCAAATTGGAAGATAAATTGCCAATAAAGCATTATGTAATGTATCGGACACAAAACATTTATTAATGTTTCAAGGAAATTTGTTCAACCAAAGAAAAGTATCTATTTTTATTTTGTTTTATGGTGTTTTTGTTTCTTTTCTAATCTGAAGCAAACACAAGAAAATTTAATATTTTTACAAGGGAGATAAATAGCCAAAACTACTAATTTTGTTTTGAAAACGTGTTGACACGATATGGTTCATTGTCAAGACAAATAAAATAAAGCTGAATTGAGAAGCTTGGGTATTAAAAGTTTACAGTAGGAGTGAAGAAAATGTTCAGCTAAGAAAATATGAAAATGAATTATCGAGCCTGCATTTTATGATAGTTTAACAGTAGTTAAGTGATGGTAATGTACTAAATTTTAAAGCCTCATATCTGACTCCAACATATTTTTTAAGATCAAATTAAAAGTCATCTTTTACCTCATGTCTTCCTTTGAATAAATGTTTGGAGCCACTTCTCAACTTTCACACCCCATTCTCAACATGCTGTACAAACAGCACTGGACGATGTTCTTTTTTATTTATTTTAATATAGAAACATCGTTCATGCTACGCAGAGATGCCTTTAGTATCGCTACGTCTCAACATTTTTTCAGAACACAATGATTTTATTAATCATTTAGTCATTATAACATAATGATATAACTCAAGATGTCGGGAATATGATGGATTTTGTGAAAAATTACAATTGGCTGCGGAGAGTTTCTGACTCTATTGAAATACACATGTACATGTATAAGGGTCAATGTAAAATGCAACCAGACTCCTGTTGTTGTTGCTTGCAATTGAAATCCCAAATACCTGGATGCACTATGTACAAATTGTTCACAATCACAGATCTCTGTTCATGCTCATGGATCTCTGTTCGCCAGTGGAGAAAGGAAATGGTGGTGCGCGGCTAAAGATTTCTCATTCACGCTGTGAGAATCGTGGTTCGAGCGCAAGGAACATAATTTGCGAGCTCAGAACTGATGTTTTGGTGTTGTTGGAAGTCTAGGAGACCTGAATGAACTTGTCCATGAACATGTTTTGTAGACTTTTTTAACTTACTTTGTTTTTGCTATACATGTATTTCTATATTTAATACTGTTCATCTTATTTTCCAGACAAATAATGAGAAACCATCCAGTAGAAAAAGTTTGTTTGGGAAATCATCTAAATGAATGGTTATTGGGACTTAGTGATGTCTACTGTATGTGAGTGAGATGAGGACTTCATCAGGACTTGATGAGTGATGGAATACTTCATGAGTGCGTTTTGTGCTCAAATGCTACAAATGAACACTTTTAGAAAGATCATTTTATGCTCAATGTTTTGACAAATGAGCAATTTTGTCACATTAATGATAGTGGCAATAGAACGATTGTGCAGAAGACGAGTCACAGGCCACATCATGTATGGCCTTAAGACATTTGCATTAATTCTACAGATAAAAGGGTATTGCGTATCTAATTTTATACATATTGAAATTGTCATTTTAAAATCATGTCATACAGTCATAATTGTTCCTTTTGACTAACGATTATAAACTATTTTGACACCCCATGACCAGGAATACTTTAGGAGCATTTCTGTATTTTAAATACAATACATTCTCTCAAGGATTGAGTTGTTGGATGATTTAACATTGTATGTCTTGTTTCCTGACCTTTGACTCAGTGCTGCCAAACTTATTCAATCTGGATACAACACATGAATGGATTAAACCCCTCACAATTCATGAAGACATGGGCTCATATTCTCTTTACACATTTAAAAAGATTTTGTACATAATCATGACTTAAAAGAATGAATGTTTTGTAAAGGAAACTTTTGTTCTAAGGGTTATGAAGACAAAAAGCACATCTATTGTGACATCTTATAGCCCAAACATATACTAATACAGTTAACTAGCCTAATTAAAGACTCACTATGCATATTTTTTTAACTTCATAGTATTTCCAATGGATTGACAAGTACTTTATCTTTCATTAGACATCAAAAAACGGGCCACATCAAAAACAGCTCAAACGGGCCACATCAAAGCGTACAATAAATTATTAAAAATATTTTTGATCTGTGAAGTTTTTATATATCAAGTTTTACCAATGTCAATGAAAGATGGCAAAGTTGTTTGTAGTACATGATTCATTCATTTTTCATTTTTATAGAAGTATCACCATCTTTTAAATCAAGAGTTTATATTTGATTGATCGTGTAAACAACATGTTTCAATGAATACTTTTTCTTTTTTCCTTCTAAATTAAGCAAAGTGGGCCTTTAACTGGGCCCTGGGTATTAAAGACTCAGCTAAATGACTTTTGGATACTGGTTGTTGACCATGATTTTTGTCTTTTGGACCCTGACTGCTGCCTAATGGACCTAGTTCATTGTCTACTGAATCCTAGTTGTTGCAGACTTGACACTGAGGTCTTTGTACCTTATTATTGTTTTCTTCTTTACCTTGATAATTGCCTTCTGTGCCCTGGAAATGTAGTAAAATATAAGTATATATTAAATGTATGTTCATTCTGATATTAATCAACAGATTTCTTAAATGTACTTGTACAAAATTATACAGCAAATAAAAAGTTGTATATCAAACAATCATTTTTAGAAATATATTCGTGAGAAATATGATATATTGAAAAGTAAATTTAGTGATGAGGTGATTAGGTTAACAAAAAAGCAAACCTAACAAATGGCTGTTGAGAATCAGACCAATTTGATAGGAGAGTTCATTTGTCCCAAACTTGAGAACTTCCTGAAAAATAATTTATATGGTTAATTTAGTTGTTGTATAGTTCGTAACTGTAACAGTTTAAGTTGAATAAATTGTAGTTACAGGATGATCCAGAAGTAACGTCAAAGGTGTTGCCATTTCAATAATACTTGACTAATGATCTTGAAACTTAGTACAGATGTCCTCCAAACATTATCGAGTTAATATCTGAAAAATACAGCTTCAGCTATTTTTGGGTTCATTTCATGGTTACTATGATAACCCAATGTGACTGCCACAACTTGATCCTGCCCCATATTCTGTCCCAAGTAAAAATACTTAATGTCTCCCCTGAAAAAGAGTGAGTGAACCTGGTTAATTTTGCACATTAACAAATTAAGGAAACACATCTTGACTCATGCTTTTTATTGTGAATCTTCCACTAACTTGCCTTTCAAATATTCTAGATAAATGACAGTGTGAAAATCTGCATGAATGTCATAGTTTATTGGTGAACAGGAACAGGTACAATTAATACAAAATTGAAAGTTTGTCTGGGCCTATGTTGGTGAGGGTAATTTGTTATGTCTTACATCATGCTCCTCTGCAAGGCTCTGCAGCAAGAGGCCTTCCTTCGGGAGGGTCAAATCCTCATGGGGATTTTGTGGTTTTGCTAAAATAATATATATATACACTGTACACTGATAAGTTGATTATTCAGAATGTTGATGAGCACAGCTACAGGGTGACACAAGAAAAATAGAACCCACCAAAAGTGTAATTATTTCTTTAATACTCATCCTATTGACATAATTTTTCATGTACATAAACCAGAATTTGGAGGGTTCTGTTTTTGGGTCACCCTGTATAGTATCGAAAATATAAGCTTAATAGCCAAAAAGCATTGCTTCAACAATCAAAGAAGCAGCCATTTTAAATTGTTGCAAATTATTTTCCAAAACTTGTACTTATATGATTTTTGATCACTATAGATAGTCTAAACCTAAGAGAAACAGCAGCTCAGTTTTTCACCAATCATGCCCTGACTCATTTAGATTCTGAACACTAACCATTAAGTGCTATCACAGAACGAGCTTTTTTGATAATATTTCAAAAAGAGGTATCAAAATGTTCTCTTCGAGTGTTGCATTGTGAGTAATTATTCAAGAACACATTCCAATAAAAATATAATTTTTGGGAGAATGTTCACTTTCATTATTGCCATAATAATGATGAATTCCATTCTATATTAAATTATCAATGTATGCAGATACTCATGTTTTTATGTTGTTGTTTTTTAAAATCATACATGAAAACCGCAAAACAAGATTCTTCTTGGAATGTGTACAGGAAGCATTTTTTCTCCAATTTTCAAAACCAAGGCAATGCTTATGTATGAAATATGGGAAGTTGCCTACCCTTCTATTGAAAGCCCATGCATGATAGCAACCATGAGATGCCACATCAATAATTTCCCACAGATTTTTTACCACCAGCATCCACATTTTCAAAAATATATTATATAAGCATGCAAACAGATTTGAACTTACTGTCTCTCCAGATGACTGTAGCATCATACAAAGTACCATTGTATGGAGCTCTCACCAGACTGCCAGTGCCAACCTCAATGGTTCCATCAGTCTCACAATCTTGCAGCTTTACGCAACATTCGAGCCCATCTTGGAAACGTATTGCCAACCATTCTAAAAAGTAATAAAACTGAATTGTGCCATTGATTTGATTTAATAAGATGTCATCTCAGGCTATTTAACTATTATTATTATGTTAATGTGTCTCCAATGTGAACTAGGCCCACTGAGGAGCAGAGAAGGGTTCCCAGGGCTCCTGCTGCTCCCAGTTAAAAATATCAAAATCATGCAGCTTTCAATGGCAGTTACTGAAATAAAACTTTATCAGTTGCATCGGATCCAAAGGAATTCCCTAGAGGGGGGGGGGCGATCTGGACAAAAAAGGGTGGACCATTTTGTGCAAAAAATTTTTTCGAGCATTCTGTGAAAACAATCTGGGTCGGTGAATTTGTATGATCCGACCCGATCCGGATAAATTTTGTCATGGTAATGATGCATTGTGGGATTAATCTTAATATTTGGCCAAAACTTTGAAATTTGAGGCACATTCCCGGGGCACCTTTTGAAAAAATCTCCAAAAGATGGTCGCCCCCCACCCCCTTCGGATGCCTATGCTTATTCACCATTTTCAAGTAGTTTGCCGTTGACGCTAACATTTGAACCCCTCCCTGGAATTCTGCAATAAAGAAAAGCATCATCGGCGAAACGAAGCCAGTGGGGAGGAGTAGCAAGATCCCACGAACCCCCTGCATGGCTTCATGGACTTCTAGCTTGATGAAACTAAATACATACATGTATTAGTATTTACCAACAAGGTCAGTCTAGGCTAAAGATTAGATCAAAATCAAGTTTAAGTTTGGCGGGTTTGACAGCCTTGTGGGCTTGGGCCACTTCAGATATGCTCATTTTTATAGGAAGCTGACTGTAATTGAACAAACTAGAACTTTTATGTCAGTGTAATGTTTGTACAATTCTATAATTACCTATTTCATCAGCAAAGAAACGGCATTTCACATTCCTCGGCCCACTCATCTTCAACCAGTTTTGTCAAATCTCTTCCCGCTTCAATTTTGAATTGAAAAACTTGGAACCAATCAGAACTCTTTCTTAGAAATAGATTTCTCTTCTTTTGTATATAATATGTCATTTTATACATTCCAGCTGAACACAAAGGACCTTATACACCCTCCATTGGGATCTCCCCATGGGAAAAAAATAATTCATCTGATTTTTCAAAATGAGTATTCTGCTTCAATTATTACATTTATATGCACACTAGTATCTTGTTGACCTATATTCAGCACTGTATTGATGTATAGGCCACTTATTAGGGTCATAATTCAATCATGAAGTGTAGAGGCATAGATTCCAAACCAGGAAGTATTTTTGTGTCTGTCAAAATCCATTTACATCCTACGCATCCCTGCATCTTATCCAAATATGTTACTACCTAATGAAATATAATAGTATAATCTTTGGTTTTACAAACTTGTATGATATTTGATAAGTGTAAAAGTTGTTTTTGGAGCATTTTTCTATAGCTATTTTGTAGGGAAAAAATGATGAAAAAATGTACAATCTTTTAATTTTAAGTATGACCTGAATCGATTGCAAACTTCATATTTGCACATTTGATGAGATAAATCATTTGTGTCGTATTGTGAAATTATTAAGTTTGCAATCGATTCAGGTCATAGTGTATTTTTGGTATTTCTGTGATAATCAATGGAAATCAATGGCCTCTATTGGGATCTGCTGATATCCTCATGTTAAGTCAATGGTGCACACCCCCATGTAAGTTAATACAACCTTACTGAACGAAATGATCCCTATCTCAGCTTATGTGTGTCCGAGCACTTTAATATTTTCCAAAGTATTATATGACATTTTATTCTTCATGTTACACCTACGAATGATTCATTTTGACCATAGGGATATTTGCCAATAATTGCACCTTGTCCTTTAGATTCACAAACATCTGTAGTCTTAAATCAATTAAATGATAGTTTAATCTCATTTAATAAGAAATAAGATTTTTCCCCCATCATGCCTTGCACTAGATTTCCCGCGTTGGTCAAAATGGAAATGGAAACTCAGCAAATTTCGAAGAAAAGGGGACCATACAACAAAAACTCCAGAACTTCTGTATGGCATGAGAAGAAGCTACTCAACCACGAGGAATCATCATGGCCATGAATTTAGTGAAGATCAAAATCTCTGTTTACAGCTTATGTGTGTCCGAGCACTTTAATATTTTCCAAAGTATTATATGACATTTTATTCTTCATGTTACACCTACGAATGATTCATTTTGACCATAGGGATATTTGCCAATAATTGCACCTTGTCCTTTAGATTCACAAACATCTGTAGTCTTAAATCAATTAAATGATAGTTTAATCTCATTTAATAAGAAATAAGATTTTTCCCCCATCATGCCTTGCACTAGATTTCCCGCGTTGGTCAAAATGGAAATGGAAACTCAGCAAATTTCGAAGAAAAGGGGACCATACAACAAAAACTCCAGAACTTCTGTATGGCATGAGAAGAAAATAAAAAGAGAAAACGATGAAGACCGTTTAACACATGAAATAAATATTTGTGAAGGAGAGGGAACCATGGAAAATACTGACC